GTGTGTGTGTGTGTGTGTGTGTGTGTGTGTGCGTGTGTGCGTGTGTGCGTGTGTGTGTGTGTGTGTGTGTGTGTGTGTTGTGTGTGTGTGTGTGTGTGTGTGTGTGTGTGTGTGTGTGTGTGTGTGTGTGTGTGTGTGTGTGTGTGTGTGTGTGTGTGTGTGCGGGGGGTGGGTGGGTGGGGGGGGGGGGCTTTCGGAGCCCCGCGGGGCGGGGGCGCGGTGGGCGGCCGCGTCGGGCTGCCCAGCGCGGCCCCGACGCGGCCCAGAGCTTGCAGAGATATATTGGTGTAAGCCCCCGATGAAGACAATTTCCAAAGTCTGCAGCTGGCTCTCCGATGTAAACATGGGGAACCCGCGGTGCTCCTAAAGGCCAGTCTCGGGTTCCCTTCCGACGCCAGACAATCGCGGGGCGCGCGCGGGCAACCGCGGGGCTGCCCAGCGCCGCGCCAACGGCGGCCCCTCTCCCCCCCCCCGCCCCCGCCATACCCCGCGCACCCACCCCCTGCGCCCTCCGCCTGCGGGGCCACGGGGTAGCATCTGACGGGGGCTGCCTTCTTCTTCCGTCGGGGGCGATGCCGGGGCGCGGTGGGCGCGCTTTCGGGCCGCCCTAGACGGGGCCGACATGTAGTCTGGGTGCCGCCCGAGACGGCCCGGCAAGCCCCCTGACGAACGCAGACCACGGCATCGGCGTTTGTCGGACTGCTCGCTCGTAGCCGCGCCTGAGCATGCTCGGTCTCGCACGGGCCTCCCCCTCTCGGCGCGTTTCAATGTCAAGCTGGCCGTGCTGTCGCGCCGATGGGCGCGCCATTCCGCGCGCGGTGCCGCGTCGGTCGGGGGCGCGCCAACGGCGCTCGATGGGCCCCCTGATGAAGCACAGGATGACCTCGACGCGGCGCCCAGGGAGGCCCGATGGGGGCGCCCTGGGCGCGCCCGACAAGCGCGACGTCACGCGTCGGTGTCGCGCCCTTCAGGGCGGCTGCATATTTGAGATTTCGGGCGCCCCCCCCTCCCCCCGCGGACCTTGAGCTGCAGCGGCATGGGCGCCATCGGGGCGCCCGCGCGCCATCGGGCAACTTGAGGTTCACGGCCGATCCGCCGACCTACGGCATCGGCCTTGGTTCAGGGGCAACATGGACAGTCACGCGCGCACGAAAGGCTTCCGCCTGTCCCCTTGCAGACGCGGTGCCGCATCTTGGCGGGCGGATTGGGCTGTGAGCCGCCCCCATCGGCCGCGACGCGCGAGCCATCGGAGGCGCCGCGCGCCCCGATTTGTTGTTCGACCGATGGCGGGGGCAAATCGGGGGGTCGATTTTTCCCAGAAGCAGAAATGAAACATCCCATTTAAACATGGAAAATCAGTGTTTTTTTCAAATTCCTGGGCGGCCCATGTTGAGATCGATAATTCTTGGTCTAGGGATTTCGTAGCCGAGCCAACATTCGATTTTTCTTATGTTGGCATCCGGCCGCACATATAGCGCTCGGCTGTTGTATGATGTAGGCACCGTGCAGCTCAGATAGCGAAAAGTGCCCGGGAAACGTCAATCGACACCCCCCCCATCGCGGGGGTGGTTCCACCGAAGTAATGCACCGCGCCCGCGGGCCAACGGCGTCGGCGTGGGCGAGCGGCGCGCTGGCCGCCATCGGGCGTTCACGCTGGCCCAACATTCGCGATGCCGCGTGGAATCCGAATGCGTTGCGTTTGTGTTTCCGTTTACGGCGGCGCGCCAGGTGGCCGCAAAGCCCGACAGAGCCAGTTTGCTCACGTGGCGTGGTCTGGAACGGGCGCCGACGCGGTCGCTGCCACCGCGGCGCACATGGGGCGTGAACCCCTTGGAGGCGCGAGCCCCCATGGGGGCGCAAGCCACCATGGGGGCGCGAGACCCATGGGCGCGCGAACCCACGGGAGCGCGAACCCCATAAGGGGCGCGAGCCGCGAACCCCACTGTGGCCTTTGAACCCCCATGGGGACGCACGCGCAATTTAGGCGCTGGGTGCGCGAAACCACACGGGGGCGCGAACCCAATGGGGGCGCGAACCCATGGGTGCGCGAACCCCATGGGGGCGCGAACCCCGTAGGGGCTTGAATCCCCACATTGGGGCGCGAACCCAGTGAGGGCGCGAACCCCATGGGTGCGCGAACCCAATGGGGGCGCGAACCCCGCGGGGGCGCGAACCCCATCGGGGCGAAAATCTTACGCGGGCGCGAGCCCCATGGGGACTTGAACCCCTTATGGGGGCGCGGACTTCATGGGGGCGCAAACCCCAATGGGAGCGCGAATCCATTGGGGCGCGAACCCCCACGGGAGCGCGAACCCCATGGAGGCGCGAAGCCAAATAAGGGCGCGGATCCCATGAGGGCCTCGAACCCACTGGGGGCGCGAACCAAGTGGGGGCGTGAACCCTTCGGGGGCGCGATCCCCATGGGGGCGCGATTGATATAGGGGCGCGAACACCCTGGGGACGCGAACTGTATGGGGGCGCGAACTCTACGGGGGCGCGAACCCCGTAGGCCGTAGGGGCGCGAACCCCATGCGGGTGCGAAACCCATGGCGGTGCGAACCCCATGCGCGCGCGAATCCTATACGGGGCGCCAGCCCATGGAGGCGCGAATCCCCATGGGGGCGCGATCGGGCCCCACGGGGGCGCGAACTCGATAGGGGCGCGAACCCCAAGGGGGCGCGATCCCCATCGGGGCATAGGGGCGCGAACTCCATGGGGCGCGCGACCCCTATGTGCGGGGGCGCGAACCCCATAGGGGACTTGAACCCATATGAGGGCGCGAACCCCATAGGGGCGCGAACTTTACAGGGGCGCGACCCCCATGGTGCCGCAAACTGTACGAGGGCGCGAACACCCATGGGTGCGCGAGCTTCACGGGGGCGCAAACCCTATGGGTGCGCGAACACCACTGGGGCGCGAACCTGATGGGGGCGCGAAACCAATGGGGGCGCGAACCACCATGGGGTCGCGAACTTTATATGGGGCGCGAACACCCATGGGGGCGCGAACTGCATGGGGGCTCGCGCCACCATGGGGCTCGCGCCACCATGGGGTCCATGGCGATGCGCGCCACCATGTGGTTCGCGCCGCCATGGGGTTCGCGCCGCCATGGGGTCCATGGTGGCGCGCGCCGCCATGGTGTTCGAGCCACCAGGGAGCTCGCGCCACCATGGGGTCACCGCGCGCGCGGGCGCGTAAGGGAGCTCTGGTGTCTGCACATTGTAAATGTGGGAACTTTCAAGACGAGTGTGCGCGACGCTAAGGCGAGAGCTGCATCTAGGAAACAACCCGCCCTCCATCCGCGCGGTTTTTGGACATGTCATGCTTCAGGGCCCGTCGGTAGGCGCGCATGCCCCCCTCCTCATTCCCTACCCAACGCCGCTTTCGCACGCCCCTTCGCGCTATTAAGTGGCCCCGCGGGAGCTCCGCCGAAGGCCCCGCGGGGCCCGCGCACTGCACCCCTTGCGCGTTTCGTGGCCACATTGGGAGTTCCACCAAAAGCGTCGGTGACGGTGTTCGCGTGCGCCCCCCCCCCCCCCCACGTATCCGGCACGCTCCTCGCGCGCTTCGTGGCCCCATAGGGCGCGGAAGGAGGAACAGGTGGTGAGCCTAGCCGCTGGGCCTAGCCGCTTTGGTCGAAGCCTGGCAGTTTTTTTCGAAGGCCATGGCTGGGGAGCCACCGCCCAAGCGCGAGCGGCTCGAGGAGCCGAATGTCGTCTGGCGCCTGCTGGGCGCTCAGGGCTCTGCAGGGGTCGAGGACTCCTCGGCCGCCGAGGCCGCCGAGGCAACCTCGATCGAGACGGCCGACGAGGCGCCCAACCCGGGGGCGGCCGAGGCCGCGCCCGGCCCTGGGGCGGCCGATGCCGCCGCGGGCACGACCTCCGCCGACGCGGAGGCCGCCGCGGAGACCGAGGCCGCGGCGGCCTGGCGCGAGACGATTCACGCGCGCAGCGCGTGTGTCATTGTGCAGGAGGGGGCCGACCGCCAGGAGGCGAAAGCAGCGGAGTACAGGCGCCAGGCAGACTTGGCGTATGACAACTACCAGGACGCCTACAAGAAAGCCGTGGTTCGGGGGGGCGGTTCGCCTGTGCGCCCGCGCGCCGACCATGGCCAGGTTTCGCGCCTCGCCATGGTCAGCGCGCGGGCTTGCAGGCGAGGAGCCCTCGACAAGGCGCTGCGCAAGCCGACGGGGGCGGAGCGGCGGCGTCACCAGGCCGAATATGTCGGCCAGTCTTAAGGTCGCTGGCCAAAACGGCGGAGGAGGCTGAGGGAGGATGAGGGATAAGGGGGGAGGGGGATAGATGGAGAGGAGGCTGAGGGAGGAGGGTCAGGAGATAACGGTGGGTGGGATTAAGAGCGTCTCGCCCTGCGAGTGGGTCGTCGTCTTGTCGCTTGTCGTCCTTGCCGCAGATGCGATTGCCCCTTATATGTCCCCATCCCCTCCGTCACCCTCCGCCCCTCCTCCCGATCGGGGAGCGGTGGTGGGGGGATGGGGGAAGAGGAGGAGGAGGAGGATGAGGAGGAGGAGGAGGAGGAGGAGGAGGAGGAGGAGGGGGATAATACTGCGGGGGGCACCACACAGGGAGCTAACACTCCAGCCCGAATAGGCGACGTCGGCCCCGAGAGCTTGAGGCTCAGGCCCTCCCTAACTCCCAATACCCGTAGAGTTCAGGCCCCAGGACCTTATTGAAATTGCGCATTCTGGCGAAACGCTTCGCACATGTTTTCACCCCCCCCTGCTCGCCCGCCCCCTCCTGCCCCCCCATCCCCTTGTCTGTGGCCGTTCTGGAGCAAGCCTCAAGTCCTGGTGGCATCCTGATCGTTCCCTCCAGTGCGCCAGTGTCTGGCATCCCTACCTTCAGGCTCCCATCATGAGCTCCTTGGCCGAACAGTCGAGGTCGAGGTCGAGGTCCCCGACTCCTGAGACAGACAACAGTGGCTTCGGGCCGCCGCGACGCAGGAGCGATTCTGAGAGGCGTCGCGCGCCCCCCGCGCTGCGGATGGAGGAGGCAGTTCCAGCGCCCCTCGGCCACGGCAGCGCCGTCTCTCCAGCCGTGCCCGTGCTGCCCACGGTGATCAACATTGAAGATGAGGGCAACGCGGCCCCCGACGCGGCTCCCACCAAAGCGGCTGGCAGCGTGGATGGTTCCGCAGCGGGTGGCGGCGCAGTGGGTGGCGACGGAGATCGTGGCGGCCCAGCGGACGTCGAGGTGGGCGGCGGCATCGAGCGTGTCCAGGCCGCCGTGTCGAAGCAAAAGACGATGGTCATCTCTAAGCACTGATACGAGTCCACAGACTACATGCCAAGCTGGATGAGGAACTACTTCTTAGCCATGGTGCCCCAGTTCGCTGCAGCAGCCCCTCCTTGCAGCTCGGGCGCCCCACGGGCGGACCCTCCTATATACACCGTGACCTTCAAGATGGAGTCGGAGGGTGCAGTTGCTGCGATAGGGGCCGACAGCGATTGATGCAGCTCGTCTATGCCGATGCGGATGCCGACGCAGCCGACCAAGGCGGTATCCTAGATGCCATGACTGGTGGATCGTCTATGCCGATGGGGCTCGTCCGTGCTGATGGAGCCGCAGTGCATGACGCCGACGGCGTCTCCATGCCGACGCGGCCCGACTACGTCGTTGCGCATGCGACGAGGTGCCGCCAGATGCAGTTTGCAGTCAGGCTCCTCATCACGTTTTTTAGGGGCTACCCCCAAGTGCATTCACTTGGCGCGTTTTGCGTGCCTGTCGCGCGTGCGATTGCCCCTCGACGCATTTTGCGCCCCTCAGCTTTCGAGAGCCTTGGATTGAAGCAGCGAGCGAGCTCCGCCCTGAAGCAAAACGAGGCGTCCTGGGCTGTCCAGTTCGGGCGCGTATCTAGGATCACCCCCCAGGCGATGCGGAGGCTGGGGGTTCGGGGCAGGTCAGGCCGAATCCGATTTCCCAAGTTGAGCTTTGCGTTTTGTTATTTCCGCACCGCTGGTGTTTAAGATCGGAGGGGGAGAGATCCTCGGCGCTGCGCGCACCCCCGCCAACCAATCCAGATATAATGCTCAGGCGCGGTGCTTTCATCAGGGGATGCGCGGCAACGCCGAAGGCATCGCTGACGGGGGAGCAGGACAGCCGCTGCCCTTATAAAAGTGATTGTTCGGGTGAGGAGGCGGAGGAGATGCGCGAGCAGGAAAGGATGGATGATGCTGGCGGCGCGGCCGAGGAGGAGGAGGAAGGGGGGGGATAAGGGGGGGCAGGAGGAGCAAGATGACGGGGGTGGAATGGAAGGGCGGCGAGTAAGGCGAATGAGAGCGCGATCGCGACGATTAACAAGAATAACAAGGCGACGACGGCAGGAGTCAGCCCTCCAGGTCTTTGAACATCTTTCGCTCAGGGAGCGTACTCGATGCTGCTTGGGGCCATCGTGGTGCCTGTTCGGTGCCATGTTGGGAGCTTATTGGGCTCTCCTGAGGCTCTCGTTTGGTTTTCTGGGGAGACCCTGGGGCTCGCCATCTAGGAGGCTTAGGGGGGGGGGCGCCCTTGGGGCCATCTTGGAGGCAGCCGATCAATGAAAGCTGGGGGGGTGCTAAAGTATCGCGCCCTCGTCGGGGCTTGAAAACACAGCGTCTCGGGGCCACCGTGCGGCGCCACTGGGGCGCCCGTGGGCTCCCTCGGTGCCCGTGCGCACCCCCCCCCGTGGGCCCTTCTCTGGTTATTTGGGATCCATCCTTGCGTCATCTTGAGACCTCGCCATTCAATCGGAAGCGAAAACACGAGCAGACAACCAACCCACATATGAGAGCTCTCATGTTCTCAACGGTTCTGGCATCTTCGGGGGTGCCCTTCTAGGTTTTCGGAGGCATGCGAAGCCGCCGTGGCACTGTTTCGGGGTCTCTGGGGGGGGGGGGGGGGGGGGGGGGGGGGGGGGGGGGGCCATATTGGGGGCCGCGTTGGGCAATCTTAACCTATCTTGAGCGTTCCTGGAAGCCGTGCTCGCATATCTGAAGCCGTCTGGTGTCCCGTAGCCGTCCCTGAGCATCCTGGACGCCCTGGCCACTCTCGGGACGCGGTCTCCTGACCCAGGGGGCGAGGTGCAGGTGATGGAAGGGGCCCTCCCCGAGGGGATGATGGGGGGCTTAGCTGAGCGAGCCCGTAACAACGCCTCCGCCCAGAGTGCTTGCGGTGCATGGGCAAGGCGCGCTATTCGATATGACATGCCACCGCTTGGTTTGTTTGTCTGGCACTCACCCAGATGTGTATTCGTACCAGAGGCGTTCGGCGAGGATCGGCTTGGCAGTGGGCCTTGTCGAATGGGCTTTTGCAAGGCCTATGTGTGCATACCATATGTGTATATACCATACTATGTGCAGGTGGTGCACACACAAAGGCGATGCTTGCGCCATGTTCTGGCCGCGGCCGTTTTGCCTCGACTCGAGTTTTCTTTGTTTGTTTCAGTTGGTGCAGGTTGCCACCAGCGTTGGCCAACTGTGCGAGCGTCCCGACGCCAGCCGCGGGCGCTCTTGAGCCATGGCACCGAAGAGGCTTGGCGGCGACTCGTCCGCTCCGCCTCTCAAGGCTGGACGGCTTCAGCGGGCCTCGTCCGAGGCGGGCTTCTGGGTCGCGCGCAGCGCGGCTGGTTCGACGGCTGGCTCTGCGAACGGGAGGGCCAGCGAGGTGGTCAAGGGTGTCGAGAAGACGAAAGCTCACCAGCGCCATGCGTGCTACCAAGAGGTCCTTCCTGAATATGCCAGGCACCGTCAAGTGCATGCGCAGGAGTTGCGGCGCCACGCCCGATAAGGTGGATAGGTGGGGCGCCTACGAGGAGACGAAGGCCAGGGGCGGCACCTGGCTCTCCAAACCAACGGGGCCTGCATGCGGAGATTGCACGGATCACTGTTGGTTTGGGTGCGAGAATTTCGGCAACACCACGGAGGTGCTCGAGCAGCGCAACAATGGTAAACTTTTCGACGCCGAGCTCACCGACACGATGCGCTGGAGGAAGAAGAACACCCAGCCCTTTTACCCAGCCAACGTGACCCGCTCAACCAAGAGCTCCGTGAGAGCGGTCGTGCGGCACCGAGGCCTCCGCCCATTCGAGTTCGAGAAGGTATTCAACAAGCCGCCCAGCGGTGCGGGTCGCAAGCGGCAGGACCTAGTCGACCCCCACTCTGGCGAGAAGTTCAAGGGCGTGCTAATCAGGGACCCCCCCCCCCAATATCGACCCCAGCATCGGCATCGCGTACGAGTTGTCCAGCGACGTCGAGTCCTGCGAGACGGAGTTCACGTTGCATCATACGAACCAGCGGCGCGAGAGCCAGGCCCGCGAATACTACGAGGAGCTGCTGCGGCCCTCTGGGTTGGATCACGAGGGGGCTAAGAAGCTGCGCCTTTGCACCGACACCTACGAGGACATCATCGCCCACATCGGGGCTGGCATTCCCCCCGACGACGGACCGCCCGCGGAAGATGCTGACGGGGCCGCCGCGGACGGCGCCGACGCCGCCAGCTTCGAGGGGGGCGCCGACGCGGCCGAGGATGCCGAGGGGTCCGTGGCGGCGTCGCCCGCGTTCAAGGGCTCGCGGAACCAGCTCGTGGTCAACAGCGCGATGATCCACACCGTGCGAAGCATGGAGGTTCGCTCCACGGAGCGTCAATCACCACCCCGCTCATAGATAGGGCGTTGTCATCGTCTTGAGTGGTGTCCTTCCCCGACGGCCTTCCTCCACTTATCCGTTACTTACCTTAGCATTCCTCCGTCATTCCACCTCTCTCTTTTCCCCTCCACATTACCCCTTCTGCGCCCTCCCTCGCGGCGCTCGCCCATCCCCGCCGCCCCCCAGCTTCTAGGGGGGAGGAATCCAAATACCATGCACATCTATATTTATATATGGTCCTGGGCTTACGGGCCATCGCCATATGGGCGGTGATTGCTGCTCCTGTGGAGGGTCGATCCGCGCAGGGAGATGCCGTCGCGCAGGGCGACGCATCGGATGCTGGTACACACAAGGTTGCAGACCCCGTCACTGCGAGAATCGACGGCGCCAACCTCACCGCGATTGCCAGCGGTGCCAAGCGCTGCGGGCACAGGCGCCAGAGGATGGAGAAGCTTCGCGATGATATGGCCGCGCATGATGACCCGTCCAAGCGGGTGGAGGCTCGGCGCTTCACGAAGCGGCTCGAGCTGACCGACATCGAGGAGGATTGCTCGAAGTTTGAGAACATCATGGCTTGGGAGAAGGCCGACCTCGCGAAGAAGCTCCAGGACCTGGTGACTGCCGACGTGAACTTGCCCGTGTCCCTGGCCATCAACTTGGCGTCCAGGGAGCTGCGGGAGCTCGGCGAGAAGATCGTGACCCAGAACGGTTCCGTCCAGGAGTTCTTCCGTGCCGCCTTCCCGTGGGACACGTCGCTGGTGGACGACGAGGCCCGCGGGCAGTCTCGCATGGGCAGGGCGAGGGTCAGGATGGTGCGGGGTAACGTCGGGGACGGGTATATAGAGGAAATGCTAGGTAGTCGAGGGCAGGCTCGAGTAGGTATGAGGACATCGGAGGGTGTAGGGTGAAGTTGGAGGAGCCGGGAGCCATGGGGAGGTCTGCAGGTGTAGTAGGAGGTAGGCTGGGTGCAGGAGGAGGTCGGAGGACGGATGCAGAGCTTGGAGGCGTTGGCGAGAGGTAGGTGGGGGAGGTACAATGAGGTAGGGGAAAGTGGAGGGGGGGGGTAGGAAAGGGACGGAGGAGGTTGGAAGAGGTCGGACGACGTCGGGCGAGCCGAAAGGATGTATGAGAAGGTATGGTGAGGTATGTGGACGTGGAGTGAGGTAGGATATGGCAGGATGGGGTGAGGTACGATATGGTCAAGCAGAAGGGGCTCGGAGAAGGCAAGGGGCAGACGGGATACTGCATGGGGGATGTCGGAGGAGGGTTGGTCGAGTAGGGGAAGGTCGGAGGAGGTAAGAGGTGGCAGTATGAGGTGGGAGCAGGTAGGACGAGGTTGGAGTAGTTTGGAGGAGGTGGGAGCGGTAGAAATACACAGGAGGATGGAAGGCGAGGGAGGGTGAGGTAAGATGAGGTGGCAGGATGTAGGAGCCAGGGCAGCTAGGATGAGCCAGGGCCAGGCAGGCGCATGTGTGTTTTGTTGTGCGTTTCGTGTCCTGCTCAGGGTTCCGACGACGGCTTGAGGGAGGCCGCCGAGGTCTCGACATTCGATCCGTTGAGCTCCCTGGCGCGCAACATCCCCATTGTGCTAGATCCGTGCGGCACGCAGGTTGAGCGGTGGTGCATGCAGTACTTCATCACGCCGATCGTGCGCGCCATCGGCGTCAATTGCCAGGCGAAGATGATGGAACTTCTCGAGAGGGCAGAGAAGATGATGCTTGCGCAGCCCACCGACATCGACGATGGGGTATCGAGCAGCATCGCTGAAGTGGTGAAGTCGTCGCGTGCGATTCGGGCCCTCGTCTCGCCGCAGGATGCTGTGCTGGCGAAGGCGTTGGGCGCAATCTCGCAGGTCCCAGCCCGAGATGTGAGTAGGTCGCAGTGGCAGGGCGTCGCCTACAACACCTGTGCTTTGCTGAAGGACGTCCCGTACTTCAAGACGATGATCGTGTCCTTCCGCATGACCAGGGCAACGCACGTGAATGCCGCGGCGAAGATGACTTGCGCCGTCGACGGAGTCAGGTCGGCCACCACCCTGAACACCAAGATCGTCGCCCAGACCAACGCCATGAAGGAGTTAAGCACCATCAAGCAGAATTCTCGCTCGGGATCCGTGGTGATTCCCTGGGGTACCAGCCGATGGGGGGTAGTGGGGGCATTGTTGGTTTCGAGTGCTCTCAGGGTAATCCACATCGCACCCTGCATGATGCAGCCGCTCTCGCACAGATCATCTGGACACGGGGACCAGGGGACGTAAGTGTCGGGCGAGCTGCTGGGGGCAGGCGGAAGTGGAGGGAGGCAGGCAGATATAGGATCTGCTCACACCTCCTCCTGCCTCCTCCTACCGTCTCCTACCTTCTCCTACTCTGCCCACCTTCCCCCTGCATCCTCCTGCCTCCTCTCGCCTCCCACTGCCTCCTTCTACCTCCTTCTGGTTGCCCCTCGCCCGCGTGGGGGCCTGCCCCCCTACCTCGCCCTACCTCTTCCTGCCTCTGCCTCCTTATTACTTCCCCATCGTGCCGCCCCCCCCCCCCCCCCCCCCCTACCGCCGTTAGCCTCGCCCGACGTCCTCCCAACTCACCCTGCCGGGCAGGGTGAGATTGGAGGAGGTTGGAGGAGGTGGGATCGGTAGAAAGACATATGAGGGAAGTAAGAGGAGGGGAGGGTGAGGTTGGATGAGGTAGTAAATGGTAGGAGCTAGGAGGAGCCAGGGCCAGTCAGGCGCATTGTCTTGCGCAATTCGTTTCTGGCCCAGGCCAGATTCGACGACGGGGAAGCGCAATGCAAGGCACTGGCATGACTGATAGTCGGAGCGGGCGGGTGAGGGAGAGGGCAAGCTGGGGCCGCCTGAGAGCACCACCGAAACAATTCCCTTACTTCCCCGCGTAGGCAGGCCCCCATGTGATAGACCATGTAGGCACAGTGAATGACTGGGAGAATATGATATGCACGATGGCAGATGACGGGGCGAAGCTCATGTCCGAGGGCGGCCACGTCGAGTACAACTTCCAGAACGCCGAGGCCCTCCAGCGCATGGCCAACGTCCTCGATAGTTACAAGAGTTTCTACGAGGTCTTGAAGACCACTGGCCTGAAGGCGAGGCCGCCTTGGGATGCCGCCGCCGAGGCCGCGACCGAGCTCGCCTCGCGCGTTGGCGCGGCCATGTCCCGCGAGGTCTCGGAGCCCTTCATGTCCAGTGTGCAGGGCCAGCAGCTTGTCCAAGATCCGACCAAAAGGGACGAGATAGTGCAGCAAGTGCTCGCCGTTCTCACCTCCTCCGGCGCGCCCGACCTCTACCAGGAGGAATTGGCCAACCAGGTCAGCCGCGTCATTCGCGAGATCGTGTCCTCCCTGACGTTCGCGGTAGCAACATGTCCAAGGATGCTTGCCTCTGCTCGGTGGTCGACAAGCTTTTGGAGTTCTTGCCGAAAGACCAGCTCTTGTACCCGTCGTGGCGCAGCGTCTCCACTTGGATCGAAGAGGTGGCGCGGGTGTCCGAGGGCATGGCGGTGCTGATCGCCAGGGGCCCGACCGCGGCACTTAGGCTGAGGGAAGCTCACGGCACCGAGCTCCTCCGTGCCCTCGCTTGCTCTGTTGAGGAAGCGGCCGAGATGAAGGCGCCGATAGCGCAGGTCGTCACGCTGCCCGCGGACGCCGACAAGATCACGTCAGAGGCCAAGACCTTCGTCGAGGAGAACGCTCCATGGTTGTATGAGTCCGCCATGGATGATATCAAGGTCTTCGTGGACAGCCCGTGCAATAAGGACGAGTCGCAATCGGAGTGCGTCCGCGCCGTCAGGCGCGGTGTGCTGCAGGACCCCAGCCGCGAGAAGTGGTCGGACTGCTTGACCGACGGCACGCTCGAGGCGGTCACTGAGGCTGTGAAGAATACGCTCTTGGTTCTCAAAGTTGACGCCTACAAAGATGCTCAATCTGTCCTGGTGGCAAAGCTGGAGTCTGCGAAACAGGTGCGGGAGTATTACGGCATGCAAGCAAACGAGGTGCTCGAGCAGGAGTACCAGAGCATCTGCGATGGCATGCAGCTCAGCCACAGCGAGGGGGTGTTCATGGCGTCCATCATCAAGTACAAGGGGAAGGACACGAAACTGAAGATGTCGCTCGCCAGGGAGAAGAAGGCCATCCAGAAAGCGAAGTACTGGGATCGTGTGGACAGTCGGCCGAGGGCGCTCGTGGACAAAGGCATCGACCTGCTGCTGTGAAGCTCGTCGGGCCGCTCGGTGGACCTGAGTGCGAGGACACTCGTGGCCGCCGCGTCGCAACTTGCGGCGCCCTTGGTCTGGGCGAGAACCGTTATCGCCATCCTCGTCGCACTCACCTTCACCATCTAGCATTGGTGTCGCCGCCCCGTTGACCCACCAGGCCCTACCACAGGCATGTCTGGCGAGGGGCGTGCAAGGGGAGGGCAGGGGAGGGATGGGGTGAGGAGGAGGGGAGGAGGATGAGGAGGGACATAAGTTAAACAAGCGTTGGACACATGAATCTACAATCTAGTGGTCTAGGACCGATGCAGAAACATAAGGAGCTGGATTTGTCGACGTTGTTTGCTGAGCGTGTCCAGGCGGGGGCGGGTGGGCCTTCAGAGGGCTTCTTGACTATCGGAGGCTTCCTGGAGCGTCATTTCGCATGTGGTGTTTTATGTTTTGGGTGCTCCCTGAGGTCTTCTTGGAGGCGTGCGGTGGCCTCTTGAGCGTTTAGTTACGTGCGGCTCGGGGTGCCTCTGATGGCCTTTGGTGGCTGCTCGAGGGGCTCACGGGGCCTCGGCTGGGCCGCACAGGGGGTTCTTGGGGCTTCTCAGGGTGTTTAGGGTTAGGGTCTGAACGTGGGTCTCGCGGGTGCCCCCTAAGCAATCTAGGGGCGATCTTGGATGCATTTTGGGCCGTCTTGGATGCGCCTAAGACCGCGGGCCGATTGTGTAGTTCATGCATGGCCGCTTAGATGTGTTTCGATAGTGTAATCGTTTCGGGGGGCGCCTTGGGTCGCACGTGAGAGCCCCGCTGGGCCGTCCCTGCGTTTTCGCAAGGCCGCCGCGGGCCCGTAGCGGCCGCCATCGCTGTCGCAGTGGGCCGTCGTGGAGGCTGCAGGTCGCCGCATGGTCGGGCGCGGGGCCGCGTTGGCGGCGTTGGGCGCCCACTTGGGGCCTTGTTGGGTTTCGCGGACTCCCGAGGGGCCGCGGGGGCGGGGGAGGAGGGCTGCGCCAGGAGGACCCCGCCACGCCCCCTCCCCCAACTCCAAGCCTCCACCATGTAGGCCTCGTACTTCCCCGCACCCCGTCCAGCTTCTCAATCCCCCGTCGCCCGTCTCCGCCTTCACCACGCCATCTTGTCTCCCGCTTGCCCCTTTTGTCTCCCTCCTCCTCCTCCGTCGCCATTTTGGCTCACTGCACGTGGCCTGGCGCCAATGGCTCAAGCGTACTGCGCCCCCATCTGAAGTATCAGATCGGCCCGCCTGGAACCGCTCATATACACCAGCACCGCCCGCCAAACATCGGGCAGTTGCATTGCGACCCCTCAGGGTCCATCTGGGGGTTGCCCGACTACGCTGCCCCGCCCCGCCGAACGCGCCGAGGGTTCGCGACACTGGCGGGGCGAATGTTTGTTTTCATGGCTGTTCAGTGGCGCGAGGGCCTAAGCATATCCGCGCCGTCGCGAAGGTGCGCCCGACACTTTCCAGTGGGGGTTCGGGCCTCGTTGGCGCCCCGTGCCCGTCAACGCGGGGCGCGGCTGTGGGCCTGCAGTGAGGCCCGAGAGGGTCTGCGCAACATATTGCGCATGGTGCGCGTCTTCGGCATAGGTCTCAACGCCCGCCCCCCGCGTGCGGAGGGGCCGTTCGGGCCGTCGTGACCCATCGATTGCCCGATGCCTTTTGCGCGGCGGCGTCGGGTGAATTGCGCAATGGCGGCGTGTTTTGCTGGGTGCCAGCGCGTGCGCGGATGGGACCGACGGCGGTTTATCACCTGGCGAACCCTGGGTTTCAGTGCAGGGCGGGCTCGCATCCAAGAGGCAGCCAGGGCTCATCCGCGCGATCTGCGCGTTCGATGGCGGGGGTTTTCCCGAGGCAGCTTGGGCCCCCGAAGCCAGCAGGGCCACCTCGCGTCAGCGCGCTCTGGCTCGGCGCTTGCCCCCATGGCCGTTCGCGCGTTGAGGGGTCTGTGCTGGGACCTCGCCCGATGAGTGCCGCGCGGTTTGCGGGGCCGCGGCCTCGTCGCGCGATCTCTCGTGCGATTTCAGCGCGACAGGCGCGCTGTGGCAGCGATCGGAGAATCGATTTTTTGAAGGCGATTTGATTTTTCTATGTGCGTCGTAACTGTTTGAAAAGTGTTTGAAAAGTGTTTTATGTTGGGATTGCGGCATGTCCAGTTCCTACGGCTAACGAACTTCTCAACCTCTGCGTCTTAATATGAGCTCTGTAGGCGCACATTTACTATCAAAGCACTTGGCGGAACCAACTTCATCTTGACATGAAAAAAATCAATGTTCATTTTTTCGAGAAATGCCTCCAGAAGCTCTCTCTTTCGACTCTGAGCACTCTCACGCGTGGAAGGAGCTCTACGAGGTTCCCGGCGGTGACCAGGTTGACGGTTCACCGCCGGCGCCCCCGCGAGAGGCGCCCGGCCGGGAACGTGCCGCATCTTTTTGTTTGGTCCGTCCTCGACGCCCCCTTCCGCCGAGAGGAAATCGCCATCGTTTCCAGATGGAGGGGTTGGCCCCGTGAAGGCAGGCGATCGCAAACATGGATCAAGGGGGCGTGGATTAGCAACGGGTCCCGTTTCCATGGGAAATCGTGGATTTCCGCCGCCGAGCGAGGCGGCACCGGTCGCATTTTGGGGCGGGTCCATCCCCCGATCCATAGATTTGGCGACGGCGCGCCAAATACATGGATCGCTAATCCATGTTTGCGCGCCCGGCCGGCAGCGGCGGTGGTATGTTGCTTCGCTGGCTTGTTGGCAAGAGCTTACCCAGAGACTCAGATAACGATCCCCCTCGGGAGCCTTGAGACGGGGGTCAATGCAAACGGGGGTCAGCCAGAGCGCCCAATCTTGCAGGATCCTGCAGGGCCAGGGTCGCATTGACCCGGGCTTGGGTGCAGGATCCTGCAGGATCTCGCAGCATCCTTCGCATTGACCCGGGCTTGGGTGCAGGATCTTGCAGGGTCTTGCAGGACTTTGCAGGGCTTGATTGACCCGGGTTTGGATTGACCCGGGTCAGAAGGTCCCCGACCCCCCTCGGCATCTGCAGCACCCAAATCAGAGAAGAAATCCCAGAGGAGGGGATGACCGCCGAGCGATACCGCTAGCGCCCAGCACAATCAACGTATTTGCATATTCTACAGCCTTACGCCACATCCGCCGACCCCTTGTATTTCTTATTCGCTCAGGTATCGTGTCCTTCCTTATCTCCCTTCCCCAGGGGCGCTTAGGGGGTCCTTTGTGCCTCTGTGGGGGATGAGGCGGAGGAGGGGGAAGATAAATAGATGGAGGAAGGTGAGGATGAGGAAACGGCGTCAAGCGGACTCAGGTAGGGGTCCAGGGATTCATTTCGAGTGGATATCGTCTTCACCCCCCTCTGGTTTTCGGGGGTCCTGTCCGGCGCAAGGAGAACGTCTACAGCCTCAGGGCCGAATTTCCTAACGAATAGGATGCATATCTTCCTCCTCCTCCTCCTCCTTCTCCTCCTCCTCCGCTTTCCCCTCCGCCGACATTATTATCCTACTCCTCCTTCTCCTCCTCCTCCTCCACGTGAGGAAGAAGAGGATGAGGAGGAGGAGAATGCGATTGACCCCTTGTTTTCTATGCAGTGGTGTGTGTGTGTGGTTCGATCTTGCTGATGAGGTCCGTCCGGGACCTGCGGGGCTAGTCCGTTGTCGGCTTGGGAGTCTTTGTTGTGGCTTATGGGGGCGGAGACTCTCGCACGCCTAGAGGCCCACACGGGGTCGGCCGATATGAATGGTCATTGTGATTATGCGAGCAGGACTAGCGAGCTAGTAGTAGTAGTAGTAGTAGTAGTAGTAGTAGTAGTAGTAGTAGTAGTAGTAGTAGTAGTAGTAGTAGTAGTCGTAGTAGTCGTAGTAGTCGTAGTAGTCGTAGTAGTAGTAGTAGTAGTAGTAGTAGTAGTAGTAGTAGTAGTAGTAGTCGTAGTCGTAGTCGTAGTCGTAGTCGTAGTCGTAGTCGTAGTCGTAGTCGTAGGCGTAGGCGTAGGCGTAGGCGTAGTAGTAGTAGTAGTAGTAGTAGTAGTAGTAGTCGTAGTCGTAGTAGTAGTAAGTAGTAGTAGTAGTAGTAGTAGTAGTAGTAGTAGTAGTAGTAGTAGTAGTAGTAGTAGTAGTAGTAGTAGTAGTAGTAGTGGTAGTAGTAGTCGTAGTAGTAGTAGTAGTAGTAGTAGTAGTAGTAGTAGTAGTGTAGTAGTAGTAGTAGTAGTTGTAGTAGTAGTAGTAGTTGTAGTGGTAGTAGTCGTAGTAGTAGTAGTAGTCGTAGTAGTAGTAGTAGTAGTAGTAGTAGTAGTAGTAGTAGTAGTAGTAGTAGTAGTCGTAGTCGTAGTCGTAGCAGTAGTAGCAGTAGTAGTAGTAGTAGTAGTAGTAGTAGTAGTAGTAGTAGTAGTAGGAGTAGTAGTAGTAGTAATAGTAGCAGGATTGGTAGTAGTAGTAGTAGTAGTAGTAGCAGCAGTCGTAGTAGTCGTAGTAGCCGTAGTCTTTGAAGTGAAGGTATAAGCACAGATAGACTTGCTAGAAGTAGTACTCGTCGCCTATCCGTCTCCTCCCCCAAGCTGCCTTGCCCCTGCCCCCCCCCCTCCTAGGGTTGCCCCTCGTCTTCTCTCCCCTTTCCTTCCCCCGCCGCTTCCTCGCGTCCCTCGCCCCCGGCGCGGCCGGTCGGCTCGGCTCGGCCGGCAGAGTCTTAGCGCCCCCTTGGGCGGTCTTAGAGGCCTCGTGGGCCGTTTGCAACGCCGCGAAGGCCGAAGAGGCGTACATGCCCAAAATATACGTCATCCCATCGGAATGGTACGAGTTTGGCCCCTTGGGCCTCTCTTCGCAAGCCTGTTAGAGGTCTCTTGGAGCGTCTTGGCGGCCTCTTGGGTCGTCTTGGGCCCATCTTGGGCATCTTGGAGTGATCATTCGGCGCGTTTTTGCTCTCTTTGGCCGTCTGGGGGGTGTCTTGGGAGGCTCCAAGCCGACCTTGGGCAGCCCGGACGGGGCCTCGTCGGCCTTCTTGGGGACTTCGTGGGCCCTCTTGCGAGCGTCTTGGAGCGGAAGGCTCGAAATTTCGGTTCGCCCCCCCCCCCCCCCCTGTTGGGCCATTTTTGGGGCCGACTTCGAGCCCTCTTGGGCCTTCTTGGGCGCCTCTTGGGTCGTCTTGGCGCTGGCTTGGGCCCTTTTGGGGGCCTCTTGGGCCCTCATGGTGCCCCCTCGAGGCCGTCTTAGCGGCCTCGTGGGCCGTTTGCAACGCCGTGAAGGCCGAAGAGGCGTATATGCCACAAATATACGTTTTCCTATCGGAATGGTACGAGTTTGGCCCCTTGGGCCTCTCTTCGCAAGCCTGTTAGAGGCCTCTTGGAGCGTCTTGGCGGCCTTTCGGGTCGTCTTGGGCCCATCTTGGGCGTCTTGGAGCGATCATTCGGCGTTTTCTTTGCTCTCTTGGGACGTCTGGGGGGTGTCTTGGGAGGCTCCAAGCCGAGCTTGGGCAGCCCAGACCGCCCTGGAGGACTTCGTTCCGGGGTCGAAGTGGGCGAGGGGGGGGGGGTCAAATTGCCGGTTTGGGGTCCCCGGGGGGGGCAATCTCACACGCCTAAGGGCCCACAAGGGGTCGGTGGATTTTCTGATGAAAAGCATCCAGGACGAAAATGGGAAATGGAGGGGTAGACGAACATACAGGAAACACATATCTGTATACGTAGGCATTTACACGTATAACTTGGCATCGCCTGGATGTGTGCATTTTTCCCGTCGAGGACACTCGATTAGCATCCTGGATAATCTTGCGAAGCAAAGCTTGCACATAACAGAACAATGCATGGGGAATGGACGCCCGAGCGACGGCAAACTAAAGTAAAGGGAGTCCTTGGCTCTGTGTCTGCTTCTTTGTGTATCCTTGGGCCCCCTTTCCAGCGCGAGGGGGGAGGCGGATGTCAGAGGAGGGCAAGTGGAGAAGCCAGTATGGGGAGGCCAGAAACTGTGTATGAAGTCCGCTCATCTGATCATTATATCCATATATACGGCTGCGTCTCGGCTCGGGTACTGGAAACAGGTACAGCGCCGCCTGCCCGCGGCGCATGGGAAAAACAGGAATCGCTATCCTCTCCCTTACCTTCCTCTACCTGCGGCAACCCTCGTAGGTTCGACTCTTCTGTCGTCGACCTACATACACAGAAACAGTCTAGGCCTCCAGATTGGCAGCGAAGAACAACGGGTTCAATAGCGGCGACATTGGCGCGCAAGTTGCCCGCGTAAGCTCGCGTGTAAGCGCTGTCGTCTCCATGGTGGCGTGCCACAGCGGCGGACCGCGCAAGCCAACGCGCAGGGTCGCTGCGTCATCTCACACAATTCTCGTGTTGGATCGTTCTTTCAATTGGCGTTCCACCCGATGGGGTCGCAGGATCGCGCCGCACTGTCGATGCATCGGCGATGCGGGTCGATGTGGAGCCCGACGTCGCCGATTTATCGCCGACGTCGCCGACGCATTGAAAACGTGTCGACGATGCCTCATCGATACAGCGCATCATGATGGGGGTGTCAGGGGAGGGCTGCGGGGACAACGGTAGTCGAAGCCAGACACATGCCCGCTATATGATGACATGTTTCCCCACCGACGTGTAGCAAATGGCGGCCCTCACGCAGTGCATGTAGGCATACCTATATGTCAGGCATCGCGGACCCCCAACAGTCCGTTGATAGCAACCCCCATTCTGGCTCAAACCATTTTTGGCTCAAGGCTAAGGCGGCCACGGGCGGCGACGCGGCGAAATCTCAGGGGACCCATCCAATTCTTCACTGGCACCAGTAAGAACCCCTATGTGCAAGCACTCTTCGGGAAACTACTCCCCTCTCTTCCCGGACGTCCAGTCTTCCCGGACGTTCAGTTTGACTCGCGGGGTTCTAACAACTGATTTGCAACACGCTTGAAATCGGAATGTTTTCGGTGTTTCGAATGGCGTTCCTGCTGCAGCGCGCGTCATTTTAGGATCGGCGCCTTGCCCCCATCGTTCAAAATCGCGCTTTCGCCCAAGCGCGAGCCATTTTGTGGATCGCAGTCCTTCCCAATCGTTAGTCATTGGTGTCTCTTGCTCCTCCCACTGTTGCTTCTGCTGCTGCTGGTGTAGACGATGTTCCTTCACGCTCGCCGCCTGGAGGGGGAGGGGGTGGGGGAGGGCAAGGGGGAGCGGGAGCGGGAGGGGGAGGGGGAGGCCTCCATCCTCCCGTTCCTCCTGCTCATCCTGCTCTTCCTCAGCGAATGCTCATCTTCCGTTTTCTGATTGCGCATCACACGATGTTTTTTTTTGGGGGCCCAGGTACGCCGTGACGCTCGTCGGCAGATGGAGGAGCAATCGGCGCAATGAGAAGGGCTGGCCGGGAGGGCCCGGGACGTCAGATCAGATGTGGAGCGGGCGCGCCCAGCCTGCCTCACCTCCCCGCTTCTCCCTCTCGAGCTCTCGAGTCGGCGCTCCCCTCCACGTCCGAGTTCCGTGCCCCTCCCGCCCACCGCGTTTGCCCGTCCTCTCCCTCCTCTCCTCCTTCCCTCCCGCCCGGCTCGCTTCTCGTCCGTCCCCTCTCTCGATCTCCCCTTCTCGGGCGAGGCTGGGACGAGGATGAGGCCGACGTTCTGCTTCGTTCCCTCCCGGCGCTTCTCCTCCACGGTCGGCCTTTGGGGCCTGTCGTCGGGGCCCCGGGCTGTCGATGCTCACCGGGGGCGCAGAACTCCAGCCGGGGAGCCGGTCAGGTGGACCGCCCTGAAGGCCGCGCAGCACAGGCGTGTCAGAAGGTTGCCAAGCTCCCCGCGCCCCTGTCCTGCGTCTCCTCCTCCCGCGCATCACAAGCGTGTCATGCAGTTGCCGAGCTCCCCGCGCCTTGTCCTCCGTCTCCTCCTCCCCCTTTCCCTTCTTCGGCGAAGAGAAGAATGGGGGCTAGGGCGAGGAGAATTCCGGTCCAGAGCGTTCCAGGACGGCCTCAGAGCGTTCTGGAGCGCTCTGAAAAGGCCGCGGCGCACGAGACACCTTCCAGAGCCGCCGGCTCTCAGAGATCCCCGATCGATCCTCACCCGATGTTGTCTTCGTCCTGGCTTTGGCTTTCCTTCTGCATCACCGCCCCTTTCTCTTTCTCCCCATCCCCCTGGTCTCCTCGATTTCCCCATTCTTGCCTGCTCCTCTTCCCCCCTTCTCATTCCCCTCCCCCCTCCTCTCCCCTTCCTCCTCCTTCCCTTCCTCCCTCCTCTCCCCGTACCCTCCTCTCCCCTCCACCCCCCACTGCCCTTCCCTTTCCCTATCCTCCTTCCCTTCCCCCCCATTTTCCCATCAACAGGCCTGATCGCGATTTGCTGCCCAAGGCCTGAGCCTTCCAGTTGCTTCTTTGCCTTCTTGTGACGGCGTCCACTCTGGCGACCCCTCTCTCCCCATCCTCTCCCGCGCTCCTCCTCCTCCTCCTCCCTCCTCCTCCCCCTCCTCCTCCTCCTCCTCCTCCTCCTCCTCCTCCTCCTCCCCCTCCTCCTCCTCCTCCCTCCTCCTGCTCCTCCTCCTCCTCCTCCTCCTCCTCCCCCTCCTCCCCCTCCTCCCCTCCCCTTTGCGGCCCGCCCCCGCCCCCGCCCCGCCCCCGCCCGCGAGGCTCAACACGCGCAGGAGCACCTACCCTCGCTGGCGCTGCGCGCCGCTGCGGCCGCGGCCGGCGCCGGCGGGCCAGAAGGACCGCCAGCGCCTCGCCGCCCCGGCCTCGGGTCGGCGTCTGGCCTCAGGTCGGGCAGGCCCCGCTGCGGGAGGACGGCTCGGAAGTAGCAGGAAGGTAGTCTGGGGACGATTGCTCGTGCGATCTTGACCCGTGTCGTGATGTCTGTCTTCTGCTAAGTATTACCAACTCTGAAAGGGTGCAACATCCGCATGTGGGTGGAGGACATGCCCGATTCGAGTCTGGCCCCGTCCCTCGATGCTCGGGGGTCCTAGCTCGGCGGCGCGCCCGGGGGGGGGGAGTGCGAGGGTCTGGGCCTCCCAGATGGGGTCTGAGTAGATGGGGGTCGGAGGGTCGCGCCGCATCGCCGATGCATCGTGCGGAGCCCGACGCTCCCCACGCGGAGCCCGACTTTTTCCACACGGACGTCGCCGATGCATCGTGCAGTCCTCCGTTCCCGCCCATTCCTGACCCCATCTATAGGAGGCCTCTGGGAGTGCTTCGGGCTTCCTGCGAAGTTGTCTGAGCGTTCCCCGAGGGCAGAGGGCTTCGGGGAGGCCCCGCCACCTTCTGAGAGGGCCTCATGCTTCTCTCCTGCCCCCCCTCGCTCGCCGCCGACAAGACCGTGTATTGACGGACCGCGCAGGGGCAACGAAGTCTAACACGGGCGAGGTTTCGCCCCCAGTTGCCCCCGACAGATCAGGTTGCTTGGAAAAGAGGGGCAAGCGGGGATCATCTTCAGGGGGCTATTCGCTTGATAACTCCTCACCACTACTGGTCCTGAAGCTTGAAATTGTTGAAGCGGTTTCGCGGATGGAGGGCGTTTTCAAAAGGATCTCGGCACGGCGCCGCGAGCATGCGATATAAGGCATGGAGCAGCTTCAAGGATGGAGTCCTGGTCATCTTCACAATGTTGTTCTCGCCACTGCGCCGCGAACATTCGTCCTTAATGATTGCAGCAGCTTCAACGACGGAGGGCGGGCGGTTTCCAGAATGCTGCTTTCGCTTCAGCGCCGTGCACATTCTGTTTCAAAAGTCGCCACAGTTTCAAGGATGCAGGGTGGCTCTGTTGCAACATGTGACTCTCGCCTGAGCTTCGCGCACATTATGGTTGCAAGCTTACGACAGTTTCAAGGATTCGCACTGTCGAAGTCCATTGAACACAAGAGTCACTTTGATTCGCTGCTTTGAAGTTCCGAGAATGGTGTTCTCACACGATCCCGGATCTTCAGGACGCCAGGTCACGTTGAGTCGCGACGCTGGAGTCCAAGACATAGCTTGATGGCACGACTGAGGATTCTCAGACGGATGTGTTCCACTGGGGCATCTCCCGCAAAGCAGGTATTCTGGTGTGGGGTACTGTCGATAGGAAACTTGCAGGGAGGTGTAATGCAACATCGTCGATACCTTTTGGGTTTGCACACTTCCTCTTCCTCCTCTTCTCCCTCTCCTCGAAGAAATCATCAACATTCGCTTAACGGCATGCCTCGCCTGAGCGATTCGAGAGAGATAGCACCTCTTCCTCTGCGGGGGGTCGCGGAAGGGCGGCGGAAGCTGGCGAACTGAAAACGAGGGTGCCTCTGCGGGCGGAAGTCGGCGGAAGAAGTAAGAGCCAGTTTTTTTTACTGCTTGGGGCATGACGGGCGTCATGGCCCCCGCTCCCCCCTCCCCCCCTCCCCCCCTCCCCCCCTCCCTATGACGTAACGCTCCCCCCCCCAGTGCGATCCGGGCACTGCCGCCGTGCGCATTGGGGTCCGCGTAGGTGTCCGAGTAGGAATCCGGATAGGAGTCTGGTCCGCAGTCGTCGTCGTCGTCGTCGTCGTCGTCGTCGTCGTCGTCGTCGTTCGTGGCTCGTCGCTCGTCGCTCATCGTCGTCGTGCGCGCGGACGCGGCTGGAGCATGTTTTTCCCAACCATTCTGTGGTGTTGGGTCCTCGTTTTGAAGAGACGGTGCCCCGCGTCCTCCTCTCCTCTCCTCCTCCTCCCCCCTCCTCCCTCCTCCCGTCATCATCATCATCATCGTCATCATCATCATCACCATCATCGTCGTCATCGTCATCGTCATCATCGTCGTCATCATCGTCATCATCGTCATCATCACCATCATCGCCATCATCATCATCGCCGTTATCGCCACCATCATCATCATTGTCATCCTCATCATCAGCATCATCAGCATAATCATCATCATCATCACAATCATCATCATCCTCCGCATCATCACCATCACCATTACCACTACCATCATCATCATCATCATCATCATCATCATCATCATCATCATCATCATCATCATCATCATCATCATCATCATCATCATCATCATCATCATCAGCATCAGCATCAGCATCAGCATGCGTCCCCTGCACCCATTTCGGCACACCCCTCACACGTTTCGTGGCCCCAAAGGGAGCTCCACCGAAGGCCCCAGTGGCTGCGCTCGCATGCGGTTCCACCCCCCTTTTCGGCACACCCCTCACACGTTTCGTGGCCCCACAGGGAGCTCCACCGAACGCCCCAGTGGCTGCGCTCGCATGCGGTTCCACCCCCCATTTCGGCACACCCCTCATACGTTTCGTGGCCCCATAGGGAGCTCCACCGAAGGCCCCAGTGGCTGCGCTCGCATGCGGTTCCACCCCCCATTCTGGCACACCCCTCACACGTTTCGTGGCCCCATAGGGAGCTCCACCGAACGCCCCAGTGGCTGCGCTCGCATGCGGTTCCACCCCCACCCCATTTCGGCACACCCCTCACACGTTTCGTGGCCCCATAGAGAGCTCCACCGAAGGCCCCAGCGTCTGCGCTCGCATGCGGTTCCATCCCCCTTTCGGCACACCCCTCACACGTTTCGTGGTAGGGAGCTCCACCGAAGGCCCCAGTGGCGCGCCGCACCCCACATTTCGGCACACCCCTCACACGTTTCGTGGCTCCAAGGGAGCTCCACCGAAACGCCCCAGTGGCTGCGCTCGCATGCGGTTCCACACCCAATTTCGCACACCCCTCACACGTTTCGTGGCCCCATAGGGAGCTCCACCGAACGCCCCAGTGGCTGCGCTCGCATGCTGTTCCGCCCTCCCATTTCGGCACACCCCTCACTCGTTTCGTGGCCCCATAGAGAGCTCCACCGAAGGCCCCAGCGTCTGCGCTCGCATGCGGTTCCACCCCTCTTTTCGGCACACCACTCACACGTTTTGTGGCCCCACAGGGAGCTCCACCGAACGCCTCAGTGGCTGCGCTCGCATGCGGTTCCACCCCACATTTCGGCACACCCCTCACCACGCTTCGTGGCTCCATAGGGAGCTCCACCGAAGGCCCCAGTGGCTGCGCTCGCATGCGGTTCCACCCCCCATTCTGGCACACCCCTCACACGTTTCGTGGCCCCATAGGGAGCTCCACCGAAGGCCCCAGTGGCTGCGCCCGCATGCGGTTCCACCCCTCATTCTGGCACACCCCTCACACGTTTCGTGGGGCTCCATAGGGAGCTCCACCGAAGGCCCCAGTGGCTGCGCCGCATGCGGTTCCACCCCTCATTCTGGCACACTCCTCACACGTTTCGTCGCCCCATAGGGAGCTCCACCGAACGCCCCAGTGGCTGCGCTCGCATGCGGTTCCATCCCCATTCTCGCACACCCCTCACACGTTTCGTGGCCCCATAGGGAGCTCCACCGAACGCCCCAGTGGCTGCGCTCGCATGTGGTTCCAGCCCCCGATTTCGGCACACCCCTCACTCGTTTCGTGGCCCCATAGAGAGCTCCACCGAAAGCCCCAGCGTCTGCGCTCGCATGCGGTTCCACCCCTCTTTTTGGCACACCCCTCACACGTTTCGTGGCCCCACAGGGAGCTCCACCGAACGCCCCAGTGGCTGCGCTCGCATGCGGTTCCACCCCCCATTTCGGCACACCCCTCACACGTTTCGTGGCCCCATAGGGAGCTCCACCGAAGGCCCCAGTGGCTGCGCTCGCATGCGGTTCCACCCCTCATTCTGGCACACCCCTCACACGTTTCGTGGCCCCATAGGGAGCTCCACCGAACGCCCCAGTGGCTGCGCTCGCATGCGGTTCCACCCCCAGTTTCGGCACACCCCTCACACGCTTCGTGGCCCCATAGGGAGAGCTCCACCGAGGAATATATCCACAATTGCGGTATTCACAACTACGTATGGTTGGGTCTTTCGTCAGGCTAATTTATTGAGGGCTGATGATGGCAATCTTCTGGGAGGGGTGGAGGGGGTCGACGACGTTGCGTTTCGCGCCGGAATGCTTTGGAATGACGGAGGACGGGTAGCACCAGCATGTAGGTGGCGATTTGCACCACATCGCCTGTGTACAACAGTGCTGGCGTGCACCGCATCGCTGGTGTACACCACACCGCCTATGTATACCACAGCAACCGCGCGCAGCACAGTGTCAGTTTGTGCCACCGTGCCTGCGGGCACAACAGCTCTTGTGTACACCACAGTGCCTACGTACACCACGTCAGCCGTGTGCAGCACAACACCAGTGTACACCACGATGCCTGCGTGTATTGCAGTGCCTGGGTACACCACGGCGCATGTGTGCACCACAGCAACCGTGTGCAACACAGCACCATTGTTGTATATAGAAAGTTAAACGGAATCTCTATGACAAAAAAAGACACTTGTGGATCCCACAGAAAGCAACAGAAAGGAATCCTCATGGACACAGGAGCACCGCTGGAATCTACGAGTCCTCCCGAGTCCGCCCGCATCACCCTAACTCCTCCTATCTGCGTCCAGGAGGCTCCAGCTAAATGGGCCGTCCGAGAATCAAGTGGACCATTCAATCGAGCATTCTGCGGCGCCCGCTGAGATGCGCACGCGCACTGAAGCGCCAACCCACACGACAGGGGGTAAGGAGGAGGAGGTAGAAATAGAGGATGAGAGACACTTTCTTGGCGTGGCGTTTAGTTGTCCGCAGCAGATCCTCACAGCTCCTTCTTCCTGTCCTAGGCACGCAGGCGCTGCGGTGTACACCAGCGCTGTGTTGCACGCGGATGCTGTTGTGTAGACAGGCGCTGTGGCGTGCACAGGCGCTGCGGTACACGCAAGCATTGCGGTGTACACAGGCGCTGTGTTGCACATGGTTGCTGCGGTGTACGCAGGCGTTGTGGTGTACACGCGCGCTGTGGTGCACTCGAGCGTTATGGTATACACAGGCGCGGTGGGGCAGATCGCCACCTACATGCTGCTCGCGTCGTCGACGTCGTCGTCGTCGCTCGTCGCTCGTCGCTCGTCGCGTCGTGCGCGCGTGCGCGGCTGTGGTGCCGGACCCACACGGCGGGGGGGGGCGTTATGTCATACCCCCCCCGCCCCCCCCCCACATGACGCCCGTCATCGCCGAACATAATGAAACGCGCTCTAACAGATGCACCCCCAAGAGGTTGGGTGTTCTGAGCCCGCCGCTCGATGCGCTGGTGCTGTGGGCATGGGTGTCAGTGACGGCGCTGCCCTCCATCCTCCACCTCATTTATTGAGGTCGTCGTTTTCTTATTCATTGTCTTGCCGATCGGCGCTGGCCCTCACACCCCCCGCTGGAGTAGATTTTGGCTGTTTTGGGCGCCCGTGTCGAGCGGGTGGGGTCCCCCCCGCAGGACGCACTGTTTTAAACAGTCGCGCAAAGCAGAGGTCCGGAGCTAGAGCTCCCCCCCCCCCCTGTCCGCCCAATGTCGAAACGCTAAATATCGGCCATGCGCAAAGGGGGGGTGGGCCTGGGGGGAGGGGGGAAGGCTTCTTGGAAGCACTCCTGCTTCTCAGATGGCGTGGGCCTTGTCTGCAGATGCAAGGCCCGCGCCTCCTGAGAAGCAGCCTCTCTCTAAGAAGCCTTCCCCCCTCCCCCTAAGTACCCCCGTCTGCGCGCCGCCAAAGAGGCCTGGAGCCAGACCCACCCCCTCCCCCCTTCCCTTTTCATCGTCATGTTATCGTCTTCATCGTCATCGTCGTCAGTGTCATCGCCATCGTCATCAATCGTCGTCGTCGTCGTCGTCATCGTCATCTGTCGTCATCGTCATCGTCATCCCCCCCCTTTCCGCCCAGTGTCGAAACGCCGCACCAGAGGACGCTCACCTCGGGGGCGGGCGAGCGGAGACAGCGGTAGGGTTGACTTCTCGGGGGGAGAGCCCGCTCGTCGCCCCACGGCGGCTTTTTATTCAAGGGCTCCCTCGAGGGCGCGAAGTTATTCGCGCTTCGCGCTTCGCGGTCCTCGTTCCTTCTCCTCCTCCTCCTCGTCCTCCTCTTCTCCCCCTTGGGGGGCGGCGCGAGAGCGCGAAGTTATTCGCGCTTCGCGCTTCGCGCAGCGCGAAGCGCGAACTTAGGAGCCCTTGTTTATTCGGACGTGCAGGGGCGGAGGGACCTTGGGTGCGGGGCTGTGGACCCGCTGCAAGGGGCTCCGGGGACAGATCGAGAGACAATCCTTCGTTGATTCCCAGGGAGGCTGGGAAAAACACACGGAGACAATTCTTCGTTGATTCCCAGGGAGGTCGGGAAACACACGAGCACAATCATTACGGGAGAATGCGGGCTGTCGGGGGGAAGACGAAGGAGCCCAGGAAGTGCATGTAAATAATTGGGAAAGTGGGGTTTTGTGCCTATTTACTTGTGTGTCCCTATTTGTGTACAATACGGGAACATACATGAGGTCGGGGCGAAGACGATCCTCCCCTCGCGCAGCGCCGAGGGAGGCCATACCACTACGGAGAGGGCTCACCCGCTCCTCCTCCTTAGGACCGAGAGGCCCCCGGGCTCGAGCGAAGCGGTGCTGTGACAATGCCGTGGGCCGCTCTCGTTGTGACCCGTCTCGCAGCAAAACGACGGAAGAACGAAGGCAGGGCCATATATAGATCGAAGAAGAAATACAACACGCCACAAACATGATGAACTTTGGGGGCTCCGCGCGGGGTTCCTGGATCCGCGCGGGGGGGCCCCGGCGGCGCCTCCGGCGCCGCCCCTGGCGCGCGGAGCGCGCCAGGCAGGGAGGGGGGTCCAGCGCAGACCCAAGAAATGAGTGCGGATCGTCAAAATGTCATGCTATGGCGCTGTGTTCGTTCTTGTGCATTTTCTTTTGAGAACGAAGACGACATGAAAGCGGAAAACGCCGTTCAGCTGGGGCCTTGACCGAGGTTCCAGGATCGGAGCTCGAGGAAAGGTGTTGCTGCAGTGGAGGCCCATGCCAAGGAACACCCTGCTTGCCTCCAGGGTGCCCTGGGTTTATTGGGTCTGGATGGACCTGCGGTGGAAGGCGCGACGCTCCCGCACCAGAAATCGATGGGCGTCCTGGGGACTCAGGGTTGGGTTTCTTGTGGAAGGTCTCTTGCGGACTGGCCTCCGTTGCAACGAAGACGACATGAGAGCGGAAAGCGCCGTTCAGCTCGGGCCCGGACCGAGGTTCCAGGATCCAAGCTCGAGGCGAGGTTCTGCCAGTTTGGGGCCGCTTGATTGGGGGGGAGGGGGGCCTCATCCTCCTCCTCCTCCTCCTCCTCCTCCTCCTCCTCCTTCTCCTTCTCCTCACCACGAGGGGGAGGAGGGAACGATATGTGGGAAACGACTTCAAACCGTCCAGAGACTTATTGCACACCATACGGAAGCCCATGGAATCACCTTCTTCGGCCAAATCATCGTCACAAACCAGTGCCCCTGGTGCCAAAGCAGCTTCGTCAACAGAAGGGGGGCCCTGGACCACGCGAGGAAAGACGCTCTGAGGCAGGGGAGGTGCTTCGTTGACATATCCAAGTGGGCCCACGAGGTTACGGTCCCCGATAGCCTCCAGTGCTGACTCTGCGACCACGTGGCTCAAGATTTAGCTCCCTTTCAGGAACATGTCCGCCAGCACATCCCAGGTCCCACAGTTGTAGTCGAGGCAACGAAGCACCAGCTCGTGAAGCAGATCATGTCGTGGAGACTCGCGCAGGGAGATGCTGGCGCATCGGCGGCAGCAGCATCGACGGGGGAGGAGGGCAACAGGGGCTCGGAGGGCAGGGCGAACAAGGTTCCGAAGACAGAGGGCGGCAAGGGCACTGGGGGAGAACAAGGAGGCGGAGGAGCAGGGCAACGAGCAGACCCGCGAGAGGCCCTGGTCACCACTTCGAAGTTCGTGCTCGGGGGCGTGCAGGAGAGCCGAGACCACCATGACGCCCTCTGCGACTCCTGGCTCGTCCCGTCAGAGGTCCCCATGGTAGTCGCAGGAGCTCGAGCAGGCCAGAACTACACCAACGAAGTCAAGAGGCTCGGGAAAGGGCACGGGCACGGACCACCACGCTGGCCACATAGCAATCGCCACTGTGGAAGAGGCCATCAATGCCTTCAGCGACACGGACGAGAGCCACACGGCCAGCAAAGAGTACTTGAAGGAGTGGGTCGACTCCGTGAACGACAGCAAGCACGGCCTCCGCCTCACCGACGCGACCTTCAGCTCGTTCAGGATCAAGGCGGCCTGTCAGAGAGAGAGAGAGAGAGAGAGAGAGCGACATGCAGGAGATGACAAAGGTGATGTATGGGATAAAGTGCTATGCCGGCTACAAGTCGGCGTTGAGGATGAGCGGGGCGGAGGAGGAGTTAGTGACAAAAGCGAGGAGGCTCTCACCAGACGCGCTAAGAAAAGCGCTGAACGACGCCCTATTCGTGAGCAGGGGGACCATGCCAATGGGAGCGGTGCCGAAGACCGAACTGGAGAGAGCAGTGGGGCGCCAGCTCAAACAGTTAATGCATCAGGGAGGGCTCAAGAGGACACAGGTAGACGATACTCAGTTGTAGTGGTCCAGATAGCGCACGACCCTCGGAGACATACCGTTCTGACTAGAACGGTACAGAGTGGCAGTGAGCACGCGAGAGGATCATCCAGACAGGTGCAAAGCTACCGACAGGAGATTCAGAACAGTCTCGTGTATCAATAGGAGCACGCAGCCTCTCGAGTCTTTCGACGCGCCCTAGGTGGGGAAATCCAAAGCCGCTCGACACGCTAGAAGTCCCACTGGCGCGGGGGAGGACGTGTTGTGCTGGCGCGGGGTGGGTCCTCCTTTGGATCGCCCTGCCGCATGGGCAGTCGCGGAGGCTCACCCCTTGCTAAAAGCAGTTTCGTGTATGATAGCAGCCAGCGGTATGACAGCGGGGCTCACCCCGCTGACGGGGCAGCGCCCACGCCCAAGAGGCGCAGCGCACGCTCCAGGCTCTGGCGGATTGGAGCCCAGGCGGCCAAGCATCCATATTTTCCAGAGGGGCACTTTGCGAGAGATCGAAACTCGAGCGCACCCTACTGAGCACCACCTCCACCTCCTCCTCCTCTTCCCCCTCCTTCTCCTCCTCTCCTCTTCCTTCCTTCTCCTCCTCCTCCTCCTCCTTCTCCTCCTCCTCCTCCTCCTCCTCCTCCTCCTCCTCCTCCTTGTGTCCTGGCCACCGGGGGGGCCCCGTGCCCCCGAGGAGCAGGCGCTGCTTCGAGGACGTGGCGACCATTTTGTTGGGGGGGGGGCCCCTGTGGCGCTCGGCCCGGTCGTAGGTCGCCCCGGACAAGCAAAGCGGGGGCCGGGCGCGGAACGTGGGAGGAATTCCGCAACAGTGCGGGACCAGAGCAAAGCGGAAGTGTGAGTGTGAGGCCCGGGAAAAATGGAAGTATGAAACAGTATGGACAGCGTCTGAGCCTCATTCCCAAATGTGTTCAATTCGAGGTCCAACTTATATGTCAAACTGTTCTTTGGTTCAAGCGCCCACGTCTGGGCGAACATGTGTCAAAGTGTTTTCAACCTGCTTTCAATCCTCCAAATCTGGAAGAACATATCATTTGTTCGGAGTTTGTCTTAATGTTCAAGCTTCCAGATCCGGGCGAATTTTTTCACGCGTATTTCAAACTTCCCGCAACATTCCGAATCTGGACGAAATTGTTCGAACTGTTCTTGCATTTCCAAAATGAGAGGAGCGTTTCCCGCACTTTCCGGAATTATTTTTCCCAACCATCCTGTGGTGTTGGGTCCTCGTTTTGAAGAGACAGCGCCCCGCGTCTCCTCTCCTTCCTTCCTTCCTTCGTTCCTTCCTTCCTTCCTCCTCCTCCGCCTCCTCCCCCCTCCCTCCTCCCTCCTCCCACTATCACGGCACACCCCTCGCACGTTTCGCGGCCCCATATGGAGCTCCACCGAAGGCCCCAGTGGCTGCGTTGGCATGGCGGCGCCGCGCCCATTTCGGCACACCCCTCACACGCTTCGTGGCCCCATAGGGAGCTCCACCGAGCTCCACCGAAGGCCCCAGTGGCTGAGTTGGCATGGCGGCGCCTCGCCCATTTCGGCACACCCCTCACACGCTTCGTGGCCCCATAGGGAGCTCCACCGAAGGCCCCAGTGGCTGCGTTGGCATGGCGGCGCCGCACCCATTTCGGCACACCCCTCACACGTTTCATGGCCCCATAGGGAGCTCCACCGAAGGCCCCAGTGACTGCGTTGGCATGGCGGCGCCGCACCCATTTCGGCACACCCCTCACACGCTTCGTGGCCCCATAGGGAGCTCCACCGAAGGCCCCAGTGGCTGCGTTCGCATGGCGGCGCCGCACCCATTTGGCACACCCCTCACACGCTTCGTGGCCCCATAGGGAGCTCCAGGGAGCATCCAGGAGAGCATGGCATGGCACCCATTTCGGGCTTCGTGCCCCGCCCCCATTCCCGCACCCATTTCGGCACGCCCCTCACACGCTTCGTGGCCCCATAGGGAGCTCCACCGAAGGCCCCAGTGGCTGCGTTGGCATGGCGGCGCCGCACCCAATTTGGCACACCCCTCACACGTTTCGTGGCCCCATAGGGAGCTCCACCGAAGGCCCCAGTGGCTGCGTTGGCATGGCGGCGCCGCACCCATTTCGGCACACCCCTCACACGTTTCGTGGCCCCATAGGGAGCTCCACCGAAGGCCCCAGTGGCTGCGTTCGCATGGCGGCGCCGCACCCATTTCGGCACACCCCTCACACGTTTCGTGGCCCCATAGGGAGCTCCACCGAAGGCCCCAGTGGCTGCGTTCGCATGGCGGCGCCGCACCCAATTTGGCACACCCCTCACACTTCGTGGCCCCATAGGGAGCTCCACCGAAGGCCCCAGTGGCTGCGTTGGCATGGCGGCGCCGCACCCATTTCGGCACGCCCCTCACACGCTTCGTGGCCCCAGGGAGCTCCACCGAAGGCCCCAGTGGCTGCGTTGGCATGGCGGCGCCGCACCCATTTCTGCACACCCCTCACACGTTTCGTGGCCCCATAGGGAGCTCCACCGAAGGCCCCAGTGGCTGCGTTGGCATGGCGGCGCCGCGCCCATTTCGGCACACCCTCACACGTTTCGTGGCCCCGCTCCACCGAAGGCCCAGTGGCTGCGTTGGCATGGCGGCCCGCGCCCATTTCGGCACACCCCTCACACGTTTCGTGGCCCCATAGGGAGCTCCACCGAAGGCCCCAGTGGCTGCGTTGGCATGGCGGCGCCGCGCCCATTTCGGCACACCCCTCACACGTTTCGTGGCCCCATAGGGAGCTCCACCGAAGGCCCCAGTGGCTGCTTTGGCATGGCGGCGCCGCACCCATTTCGGCACACCCCTCACACGCTTCGTGGCCCCATATGGAGCTCCACCGAAGGCCCCAGTGGCTGCGTTGGCATGGCGGAGCCGCACCCATTTCGGCACACCCCTCACACGTTTCGTGGCCACATAGGGAGCTCCACCGAAGGCCCCAGTGCTACCGCCCTCATGCCTCCCGTACGCCCAGGACAGCATTTCGTGGCACGCCTTTCGTGGCCCCATAGGGAGCTCCATCGAAAGCGGCACCCACAAAGCGTTATTCACAATTGCATATGGTTTGGTGTTTCGCCAAGATAAGTTTGAATATTGGGATATGCTTAAACTTGTCTGCAAACCTTTCTACCAAACTTCCAGATCCGGGGACACGGTCCCAAATTTCCAAAGCTGGGCAAACCGCTGCTGATGTATTTCGGCCGCTTCGCGATACCACATTTTCGTACATCTTTCCAACATGTGAATCAAATTAGTATTTCAACAGTTTGATTTGTCCGAGGCGGCATAACAAGGCTGGTCCGCATGACAAACATCCCACCCGACGGCTTGTTTTCTACATTCGCCCTCTGGAGGCCTTCGCCGGCTCTCGCGACCGTTAAAACATTGACTTAGGATGAAGATCGTGTCCAGGCGAAAACGTCGAGATGTCTGGGGGTCGACGTGGTGACTGGACCATGACGTCGGGGGTCTGTGCCCCGCGACCCCCCCAGAAGTTCTCCCTGCCGGCTTCCGCAGCAATCTCGGCCCTGGGCCTCGGTCCTCCAGCCACAGCTCGGCGGCTCGGCCGCTTCCCCCCCCAGGCCCCGCGGCGGGCCGGCGCGTCCCCCTCTCTCCATCCCGGCTGCCTTGAGACGCCCTCATGGAAGCGCAACGCGCTCCGCGTTCAAAACGTACCGGGTCGAGATGTTACGTACCAGGTCAACATGTGGGCCTACATTTCGGCGAGTGTGTGCAGCCAGGCGCACGTTTTGAATGTACGCGTTGAGCCTTGTGTCAATACGCTCCGGGTTGCGTGTTGCGTATCAGGGCAGCGAATTTCTTGACGATCTTCAGGACAGGACGTGTATTAACCCAGCGCGTGCCAGCTCGTCTGACAGCACGCTGCCCGCGCCGGCCCCCCTCACTTTGCCCGCGTCGCACAGAAGGGATTTGGTAGCCGACGGAGAACAACTGCAGAAACATGAGATGTCGACGGTCCGCGTGGATCTCTTGAATCGGCGATGGACCCCCATCCTTGGCGCGCGGAACGGGGCAGGGCGGCCGCCAGAGGACTTCCGGCGCAGAGCCGAGGCATCCGTTCGGACCGTCGAGCAGGTCATGTTCCTGCTTGCGGTTGTTTTCCATGTGGACAAGCACGCAGTGGTACTGCAGTGGAGGCCCATGCCAAGCAACACCCTGCTTGCCTCCAGGGTGCCCTGGGGTTCTCGGGTGTTGGTGGCTTTGCGGTGGAAAGCGTGACGTGCCCACACCGAAAACCAATGGGCGTCCTTGGGTCTCAGGGTTGTTGTTTTTTTCGGTGGAAGGGTTTCTTGTGGACTGGCCTCCACTGTAGCACACGTCCTGAGGATCCTCGACCCTCCTCGAGCAGCGACCCCTCGGAGCCCCCCGGTCGGCGAGATGCCCGCGCCCTCGGGAGCCCCCGCCGAGCGGCTCGCTCCGGAGCTCGCGGAGCTCGGCGCCGCGCCGGACGCCGACGCCCTCAGCACGGCAGGGCTCCAGGCTGCGCACAGGCGGCCCCCCCTAAGGTGGTCCAAGCTGGCCTCGAAATCGCAGGCCTGGAGCTTGGCACCTACACCAGCAGCAGAGTTTGCTTCCACCGAGGGGAGATGCTCCCGATCTCGGCGATGGTGGTAGCATTCGGGCTTATGGGTGGCCGGCATATTAGCACCAACACCGAAATCTACGATCACCTCCTCCCAGTGGAAGCAGCCCCATGTGCTGGTGTTGGTGACCAATCTCCAGGCCTCCAGTCAAGAAAGGCCCCCCGAGCAGACACATCTGGCCTCCACAGCCCCCCCGGGCAGCCCTGGGCGACCTCAACAGATCAGCCGTGGGGCGCGGAGCGCCCCAGGGGCGCCGCCAGAGGCGGCGCCAGGGTGTCGAGACCGCCCCGGACTACGCGGGGGCTCGTGGAGGCCCGCCGGGGCTGCGCGGCGGGGCCTGTGGAGGCCAGCCGGGGCTACCCTCGCTGGGCGGAACACACAGATGCGTAGCCGCGGCCTGACGGGACTGGCCCATGGGCCGCGACCCCGTGGATATGGCGCGTTTTTCTCGCGGCTGCCTCGCGTTGAGGCATCCGTACGACCGCGCAACCGCGGGATCGCGGCCTGTAGTCCAGACCGCAAGGGCGCGGGCACGGATACGTTCGCCGCTCGAGTGCGGATATGTTCGCCGCTCGTGACACCAGGGGGAGGGGAGGGAGGAGGGAATCTTTGCCTCCCAGGTGGGATCCGAGTAGATGTGGTCGGAAGATTGCGCAGCATCGCCATGCATCACCGATGCGGCTTGGTGTAGGGCCCGATCTGCTTCACGTCGACGTCGGCGATGCGGTGCGATCCTTCGGCCCCATCTGCTCCAGTTGGGAGGCCTATAGGGAAGTAGGAGGAGGATGAGGGGAGGAGGAAGAACAGGAAGCGGAGGGAAGGAGGAGGAGGAGGTGGAGGAGGAGGAGGAGGGAAGGACCCGGGGAGGAGGAGGAGGAGGAGGAGGAGGAGGAGGAGGACGAGGAGTAGGACGAGGAGCAGGAGGGGAGGAGGAGGAGGAGGTGGAGGAGGGTTGATAGCTCAAAGGACGGGGTCGTGATGGGGGGAGGAAGAGGGAAGGAAGAGGAGAAGGTGGGGGAGGGAGAGGTGGAGGAGGAGGAGGGGGAGGAGGAGGCGGAGGAGGAGGAGGAGGAGGAGGAGGAGGAGGAGGAGGAGGAGGAGGAGGAGGAGGAGGAGGAGGAGGAGGAGGAGGAGGAGGAGGAGGAGGAGGAGGAGGGGAGGAGGAGGAGGAGGAGGAGGAGGAGGAGGAGGAGGGAGGAGGAGGAGGAGGAGGAGGAGGAGGAGGAGGAGGAGGAGGAGGAGGAGAGGAGGAGGAGGGAGGAGGAGGAGGAGGAGGAAGGAGGAGGAGTAGGAGGAGGAGGAGGAGGAGGGTTCTGAGGAGGTGGAGGAGGGTTGATGGCTCAAAGAACGGGGTCGGGGTCCTGAGGGAGGGGGTCCTAAAGCCGAGGTGCCAAAACTATGGTAGATCACCCTTGGATCCCTTCCTATCCTCAGGCCCCCATCCCTCAGGATCCCATCTTTGAACCACCGAGAGGGCTTCTGGGGCCTGTTGGGAAGCCCCCTGGGGGCCTTTTTGGAAGCGTTTTGGGAGTCTGTGGGGGCCTCTTGGGCCTTCTTGGGGTCCTTTGGGGGCTCTTCTGGGCCTGCGGGGGGGGGCGTCTTGGGGGGCTTAGGCCGTCTATGGGCCCTCTTGGGGCTGTCTTGGGCCGTCCAGAGGGCCTCCCATGGCCATCTTGAGGCTCCTTTGGGAGTCTGCGCGCCGCCCGAAGCCCCACCGGCCTTCAGCTCCACCGACAGCGACGCCGCCCCGCCCCTGGCGCCTCGAGTGGGCCGTCGCGCCCGGGCGGCGCTCTGCGCCGCGGGCGCCGCGGCCGCGTGCGGGCTGTTGCTGCTGCGGGCGCTCGGGGCGCCCCGCGGGAGCGGGCCACCGCAGCACCGCCAGGACGCCGACGCCGAAGCGGTCGCCGAGGGACGGCGACGATGACTACGACGACGACGACGACGACGACGACGACGACGACGACGACGACGACGACGACGCGGAATCGGTACGATCGAGGCCCCGACGCGCTCGCATCCCAAAGAAGAGCTGGGCGGGGGGCTCTTGGGCTTGGGCCGCTCTGGGCCGTCCAGGGGGGGCCGTTCCAAGAGCGGTTCAGGACGAGAAGCCTGTCCTCGGAGTTTTTGGGACCGCGCTTTGGAGAATCAATCGGGGGTGGACAGAACCCCCACCCTGGTCCTCGAGAGGGCGCCGCGGCCGTCAGTTTCCAAGCTTGCGCCCGCCAGCTTTGGTTTTCATTAAACAGCGTTTTGCTAAAGGGGGTTATGTTTGACTATTTCTGGATGTTTTTGAATATGTTTGACTGGCTTTTATTTGTCCTCCAAAATCCGCCCGTAGGAGGACATGCCCGACCTAACCCTTGTGCCAGTCTTCCTGTCGTTGCACGCCCCCCCTCAGAACTGACAGGGTCCCCCGGAAAGCGCTGCGTAAACGATGCACGGCCCCCTCCCCTCCAGAGAGTTTTCCCCGATCCCACTCTTAGAGCGGACAGGGTCCCCCCCGGAAAGCGCTGCACGAATGCGGCACGGGCCCCACCTTCTCCAGAGAGCGCCCCCCGCCCCCGCTTCCCAGAGCGGACACGGTCCCCCTGGAAAGTGCTGCACAAGCGGTGCAGCCGCCCCCTCCCATCCCCCCCCCCCCCAAGGCTAGACAGGGTCACCCCGGAGAGCAAGCCCCCCACCCCTCCAGAGAGTTTCCCCGCGCCCTTCCTTCCCAGAACCGACAGCCCCCCCCCCCCTCCGAAAAAGCGCTGTACAAGGGGTGCACGCCCCCAGCCCCCACCCCCAGCGGACAGGGCCCCCCGGTAAGAGCTGCATGAGAGGTGATCGTTCCCCCCCCATCCTCCTCCTCCTCCTCCTCCTCCTCCTCCTCCTCCTCCCTCTCCTCCTCCTCCCCCCCCCTTTCCAAGAGCAGATAGGGTTACCCCGCAAAGCGCGGCCCCCCTCCCCCCAGAGCGGACAGGGTCCCCCCAGAAAGCGCTGCACAAGCGCAACACGGCCGCCCCCCTCTCCCAGAGCGGGTTCCCACAAAAAGCGTTGCACAAACGCTGCACGCCCCCCTTCCCTTCCAGAGAGCTCTCCCCGCTCCCCCCTCCCCCTCCCAAAGCGGACAGGGTTCCCTCAGAAAGTGCTGCACAAGCGGTGCGCGTCTCCCCCCCGTTCCAGAGCGGAGGAGTTCGAGCGAAGCTCAAGCCCACGCTTTGTTAAGCTCACGCACGGGATTGGCGGACTTCTGTTCGCCGTGCCAAAATCTTCCCAGACCGTTATGTTTTTTTTCAGTGCCAAATGTTTTTGTCCGGTCGGTTTTGGATGATCTGTGTTGATTCGGCATCGCGCCAATGCCTGTCCGTTCCCAGATCAGACGTCTTAGTGAAATGGCCGAAATCTACTCGTCCCAACCATCCTGCGGTGTTAGGTGCTTGTTTTGAGAAGACGGTCCCCGCGTCTCCTTCTGTTTTCCTCCCCTCTCCTCACCCCATTCCCCCTCCTTAGTTGTGTGTTTCTGCGACATCCGATCAGTCTGGCACACCTCTTACACGCTTCGTGGCCCCATGGGGAGCCCCACCGCAGGCCCCACTGGCAGGGTTCCCGTGTCCGCACGACCCATGTCGGCACACTCCTCACGCGTTTTCTGGCCCCAGGGGGAGCTCCACCGTCGGCCCCAGTGGCAGGGCCCACGTTCGTCCGCGCCACCCATGTCGGCAGGCCTCACACGTTCCGTGGCCCCATAGGGAGCCCCACAGAAGGCCTTACTGGCAGCGTCATCTGGGTCCGCACCACCCTTGTCGGCACACCTCACATTTTCCGTCGCCCCAGAGGGAGCTCCACCGAAGGCCCCACTGGCAGGCGTCCGCCCGACTCAGTTCGGCACACACCTGATTCGTTTCATGGCCCCATAGGGAGCTCCACCGCAGGGCCCAGTGGGAGGGTCCAGATGCGTCCGCCCGATCCATGCCGAAACACCCCTAAGGCGTTTCGCGAGGGGGCTCCACCGTGGGTCCCAGTCGGGGTGTCCACATGAGTCCGCCCGACCTATTTCCGCACGCCTCGCACGCGCTTCTTGGCCCCATCGGGGGCTCCACCGCAGGTCCCGGTGGGAGGTCCACATGCGCCCGAACGACCCATGTCGGCACATTCCTCGCACGTTCCGTGGCCCCAGGGGGAGCTCTACCGAAGGCCCCACTGGCCATGCCCACGTACATCCGTGTCACTCATGTCGGCATACCCCTCTCACGCTTCATGTCCTCATGGAGAGCTCCACCGCAGACCGAGCTCTGTTCGTCACACCCTCATACGCTCCGTGGCCCCCTGGGAGCTCCACCGAACACGACTCTCACACCTGCGTTTCTCACGCATGCGTATGTTTGGGTATTTTGCCATTGGCGTGTGGCTGCTGGCGATTTGCCTGTCGGGCTTTCAGTGTATGTTTTGCCCGGGGCGCCGCCCTCCCCAGCAAGGCAGGACCTCGGGGTCCACCTCACGGGCACTGTGAGGTTGCCATTGGACTGTCCAGAGAGTTGTGGTGTTCCAACAGGACAAATGTTTTGGAGCATTTTACCTGGAAAGGTTCAACTCGCGGGAGTTCCGCCCGGATTTCTTGGATTGGCCTCCTGACTGCGCCTCCCGAGCCGCCCCTGGCGCCTCCCGCGCGCCGGGGAGGCGGGGATCTTGCGCCGGCCCGAGACATCCGCAGCCGCAGCACCGCCAGGACTCTGACGCGCACGCGGCTTCGGGGCTCACGCACGGTAGGTTCGCGCCGTGTCGACCGGCGGCGACCCCGCCGGCGGCGTTCAATGGTGAATGCCGCGGGCGACCCAGAATCGTTCGATGTTGAACGATGTGGACGGTTCGGGGACGCCCGATCATTCAAGGTTGAACGATCCCCGCGGTGTCAGGAGCCAACGCCCAGGTCGACACGACACGAACCCACGGTAACGGGGTTCAGCGCTGACGGGAGTCAGGCAATCCCGCCTGGTCGACTCAGATTGTGGAACAACGTGGGGTCTATTTTCTTTTTTTCTGCCTTCCGCTAAATTCTAGACGCTTCGCGTACCCCCACCAGCCCATCCAGAAACGATGTCCAGGCGAGTTGAGAGGTGATCAGGGAAAAGGAGAAAATTGGATGGATGGATGAGGGAGTGTGGAGAAGGAGGATGAAGAGGATGATGATGAGGAGGAGGAGGAGGATGTGGAGGGGGAGGAGGAGGATGAGATGGGATAAGAGGAGGAAGGAGGAGGAGGAGAGCAAGCAAAAGGGCCAGAGGTCTCTTGGATGCTTCTCGGAACCTCTTGGGATATCTCTTGGGCGTCTTGGGACGTCTTGGGGGTCTCTTGGCGGGGGGCTCTTCGGCGTCTTGGGTGCCTCGGGGGGGCCTCTTTGGGCCGCTTGGGATCCTTTTGAGGGAATCCTTGGGGCCTCTTGGGGGCCTCTTGGGGCCATCTTGGGACCATCTTGGGACCTCTTGGGGCCTCCTGGGCGCTTCTTGTCGATCAAACAAGAGGGGAGCATTAATTAGGGCCCCCCCCTCAGGAGGCCAAACATTGGGGGCCAAGACCATAGTAAAACCAGTGTTTGTTGCTTCCTTGCCGAGGCCGTTTGGGACGCTCCGACACCTCGCGAAACCCTTTGTCCAGGTCCAGGGGAGGGGGTAGAGGGATGGGTAAAGGAAACTCCCTAAACCACCGACGCCCAGAGGGCTGGTGGGATTCCTGGATAGCTTGCAGAGAGCTAAGAGGGTTTAATATAAGAAGCCGGAGCCGCAGGGTAGCCCTGGAGTTCGTTCCAGCGGCGGGCAGGGAGCCTCGGCGCGAGTTGCTTGAACCCGCAGCGTGCCCTGGCAGGCCTTTTCTAAGCGTTTCTCAGTTCGCGTGCCCGGAAGCTCTCCAGAAGGTCCTGCGGAAGCTCTCTCCAGGTCCTTCCAGAGTTCCTCGCCGGGTCTTTCCGCGCTCTTCGTTTGCCCTGCGATCGGGGTTTGGGACTCCACAAGTTGGGCTTCGGAGCTACTGAGCGGCCAGCTGGGCCTCGCGACAGGGCCCTGGCCCTCCCTGGTTTGTGATGACGTTCATTCCGTCCCCGACGGTCGGGTTTAATGCGTCCCCGGCGGTCGCCAAACATTTGTTTGAAAAGCGTGGGGTCCCGCTCGAATGTTTCGCATCGCCGGCAGGCCCCGCTGGCGGCGCCTCTGGCGCCGCCCCTGGCGCGCTCCGCGCGCCAGGGAGGGGGTGGGTCACCACCCACCAAAACACCCCAACCCCAATTTGCCCTCCATTCCCAGTCGGGAGCGGGCGTTTGGGACCAGTGAGAAAAAAACATTTCTGGAACCAGTACCCCCCCCCTCAACCCGAAATTTGGGCCCTCGGGTTGGGTTGGGGTTGGTCTGGTAGGTACTCAGGGTGGGGGGGGCCAGTGACGATCCCAGGGTTCCGCGGGGATGTCCTAAAATCGGACGGCCATGCCGGATGTCCATCTCCTAGGCTCGGGCCCCTTTGGGGCCTTTCTCTCCACCCCTGCACAGGTCGCCCCCCCTTTGCCACCGGCCCGATAGGTTAGCCTCGGCGCTCTGGGTCTGCTTGGCGAGATGCTGGAGAGCGGCGGGAGCGTCCTCAACGACGGCGTGGAGGCGGACAAGGCGCTGGAGACCCTGCCGGGGCAGATCCAGGTCGAGGGCGGCGAACAGATCCGTATCCGCGCTCTCGCGGTCTGGATTTGAAGTCGGGCCTCTTTCCCTCTACAGGAGGAATGCCCAAAGATAGTCCAACAATAGTATGGGGAGGATTGTGGGGGTATTCTTTGTGTGTTTTGGAAGCGTTTTGACTGTGTTCTATTTTCTGCCCAACATCGCCCTGTAGGAGGACACGCCCGACCCAAGTCCTGGATTTTGGGGCGTGATCCCGCGGATGCGCTGTCGCACTTTCAATGCCCTCCGCGGGGGGGGGGCACCGCCGCCAAAACGCCCTGCATCCGCGGGGTCGCAGCCCAGGGGCCCGGCCCGCGAGGCCGCCGCGGGTACGGATGTGTGTGTCGCCCATGACCAGGGCATTGGGAGCGAGCTCGTTGGCGACTACCCTGACGGTGACATGGGTTACGTTTAGGGGAACGGACAATGACATCAACATAAAAACTCGGCGGACCGCGCGGACTTCTCGGAACGGCGTTGGACCCCCCTGGCGGCGCCTCTGGCGCCGCCCCTGGCGCGCTCCGCGCGCCAGGGAGGGGGGGTCCAGTGCGGATCCGAGAAATCCGCGCGCACCTCCGAGTTTTTATGTTTATGTCTCTTTTTGTTTCCCTAACGTTGCATCTTCGGGGGGCCTCGCCTTTCCCAAAAGTGGTCTCACGACGATGCACCACAACATGGGGTAGCACATCATCGGCTTGTGTGCGCGCTCGCCGTAATTATTTGGACCGCACTGGCGTTGATTAGCGTTTGAGATTTGATGAGATAGCGCCGAAGTTAGCGCCGACGACCGTCGTTTTAGCGTCGTGTTAGCGTCGATGGCCGTAGACGTCCGTCGACTCGCGTGAATTATCTAGATGACACGGGGGGCTACCATGAGTTGCGGCAGAAGGTGTCACAGCACACGGCCCCCTCGTCGACGCGCTCAAGAATGGGACGTTCAGCGCGTGGCTCCAGAACGAGACCAACCGCGAGAAGCTCAAGAAGTTGCTGAAGAAACCCAACAACAAGCACGACGGTAATTTTTGCGAGGACGACGAGGAGGAGCACGCCTCCTTGTGTTACAAGAAGTGTTCCCTGATCACGAACGGCGCGTATCCGTTCCGGGGCACCGCGTTCTCCTGCTGCAGATCGCAGCCGTGCACTCTATTCAATTCGCATTTCATTATGTCGATGTGCAGTGGGTACGACATCGCCGGCGACAGGGCCAACAACCAGTGCCCTCACTCCAGAGGGGCTTGCTACGCGGACGAGGAGTTGCACGCCAATATGTGCTTCAAGAAATGTTTGTTGCTTACCAATGGGACCCACGGCTTCAGGACTGCGGCAGATTCGTGCTGCAAGTACCAGGGTGTCATGCAGTGCTTGATGCATGCCAACTCCTCGTTGACGAACCCGCTGTACGGAGTCGGCGGTGGCGAGTTTGAAAAGACCAGTTTGAACAAGTCCGTGAACAGCCCGCACCCTCCTGTTGTGGTTGAGGCGGAGGAGCCATAAACCAGACACGGGTTACCAGGTGTGCCAATTGCATGTACGGCGAAGCCCGCAGGTTTTCTGGTTTCTGTTGTCGGCGGGCGTCTTGCCTTGAGCTCGTAATTAGCTGTTGGCTGTATCGCGTGTAGCTCTTAGGACCGCTGGCCTTGATCTAGAAAGGAATCCAGACAGAAAGTCCGTTTGACAATTCGTTTGGGCCTATGGTGCAAATTCGCCAAACTTGTCGGTTGGTGCTCGCTGGCAAAGCTCTTGCGACACTTCCAGGGCCCGCGCGCGCGCTCGAGAGACCCTCGAGAGGCGAAAGACCAATCAGACATGGTGCCTGCGAGAGAAAGGTACAAGGAATACTGACACCTACTTGTGTACACAATACGTCTTGTGGGTTGTGTGATCCTGTCGGTGGTCGGATCAGCACTGGCAATCGCAGACTGGCAACCAGCCTCCTCGCAAGCAGTTGGGTTCGGGAACAAGGATACTTGATCCCATGCCATCCAGCTGTCTGCGGCAAACTTCGCCACCGTTTTCGTGCAGCTTCGCAGCAGGAAGGATCTCGTGGGGCTTTCTTGGGGCCCTCTTGGGAGCCTTGCGGGCCCTCTTAGGGCATCGATCAGAGAAGGGGGGTCCTTGATTAGCCCTGCCCCTTCAGAGCCCTCGCTTCTTCGGGCTTTCTTGGGGGTGCTCTTGGGCGCTCTTAGTGCCCTCCTCAAGCCCTCGAGGGCCCCTCTTGGGTCTCTCCATGGCCTCGGGGAGCAGTCTTGAGGCCTCGGAAGGCCATCGGAAGGGAACAGACCAGAAGGCGACAATTATGGATTGCCCGTCGGTTTTGAAGGGATGTTTACATTTGGTGGGACATCCTGGGGAGGCCTCATGGCCACCACTTGGACCCGGTTTTGGGGCAATGCTGGGACCTTGCGTGGACTGTTCGAAGCCATCTTGAGCCATTTTGGAGGTCATCTTCGGGTAATTGAGGCCCTCTTGACGCCGTCCTGGGCCATCTTGGACGCCCCACTGACCCGCTGCCACCCCCGTCCAGACCACGGGGGATGGGGTAGGGGTAGGGGAGGGGTCAAGACACCCTCCCCGCCTGCAAACTGTCTAGCTCACTTCCGCCCACCTTCCCAAATACATATAAGTAGCACCCGCGCCTCAGCGCGTTCAACGGTTGTCTATGGATAGGCAGCTACTGGAAACAAAAACCTTACCCGATGTGCGCGATGTTGGGGCGAGGTGCGCCAGGCGTGCCAGGCGCGCCAGGTGCGCCAGGCACCCCTAGCCCAAGCGTGCCAGGTACGCCTTGCGCGCTGGATGTACGCGCTCTGCGTGCGCCATGTTGTGTGTTGCATGCTCCAGCCGCGCCAGTTGCGCCACGTTCGGGGCACGCGCGGATTGTGCTAGGTGCGCCTGCGCACGCGACAGCACACATCGGGGGACATGTTGCCCCCCAACCGTCGTCGTTGAAACACAGTGTGCAATCGCCGAGGGGTGGCCAGATGGTGTCTGGTGGGCCTGCACGCAGCAGTCGACATGCCAGCACCTCCGCCGCCCTTGCCAACAACCGTGCAACGTAAGCGCGGGAGGGCGGCACATCTACGTTTCGTTCAAGGACAGTTCTGTCAGAATGTCGGACATCCTGCGCGCGCACTACCTTATCATCCTCACCACCACCACCGCCATCACCACCATCGTCGTCGGCATCCTCCCCACCGTCATCATCAACGTCGTCAACGCCATCGTCGTCGTTGTCATCATGACCAACATCATCATCATCATCATCATCATCATCGTCGTCGTCATCATCATCATCATCCTCGTCGTCATCATCATCAACATCATCATCACCATCATCATCATTACCATCATCATCATCATCATCATCATCATCATCATCATCATCATCATCATCATCACCACCATCATCATCATCATCATCATCATCGTCGCCATCGTCGTCATCATCATTGACCTCGTCGCCGTCGCCATCATCATTTGTCCGCCCCGGTATTGGATTTGCATGAGCAGGGTCCGAGCGTAATTCAGCCTGTTGAGTCTTGCTACAAGCTCTCACGGGTAATTGCACTCACGGCCTCTTCAGTTTTGCCGGCAAGTTGCGGTTGCGTGCGACAATATTTGGCTTTAGCATGGGAGGCGCTCGCGCTCCGATGCTCACAATTAATTCTCCTTTCTAAAGAGCGAATAAATAGAGTCTACCCCCCCCGGACTTATCGGTTCCCCCTGGGATAATATAATTTCATATATATATATATGTATTCTGCACACTCGTCCATCCTAAATATGAAATCAGACCATCCCAGCTAGGCCAGTTTCCCCCCCTGAGGTTCCCTTGTAAACAACACTATGCGGTGACATTGTTTGTTCTAAGATAACACTTTTTCGCGAATCCCTTGCAACAAATAGAACGAAGTGCACACGCGCGCGTCGTCGCGCGCGCATGCCGAAATCCTTCAAAAAACCTTCCGTGCCGGAAGGATGTCGCAATCGAGTTCCCAAAACACATACAAAAAACACATGGCTTCGCAACACTGATTTGCTAAACAAGCATCCGCGCGAGCTCTTGCGAAATCTTAAGAAAACAGGTTTTTCCAGATTTTCACAAAATGCTACCAAACGGGCTTCGCGCGCGCATGTCGAAATCTGTCGAACGCCCTTGAGCGTGTGCCGTCGCAAGAATCCTCTGCAAAAAAAGGACGAAGTGCAGACGCGCGCGTCGTCGCGGGCGTATGCCGAAAACCTTCAAAACCCATCGGTTTCGGAAGGATTTCAAAATCGTGCGTCCAAAAAAACCTACAAAAACCCAATGGTTCGCAACACGGATTTTCAACACAAGCGTGCGCGCGCGTTCTTGCGTCGTCGTCGTCGTCGTCGCCGTCCTCCCTTCTCCCGCGTCGTCGTCGTCGTCGCCTACGTCGTCCTTTGTCTTTTCTCGTGTTCGTCGTCGTCGCCCTCTTTGGCGTCGTGGTCGTTTCCGTCGTCGTTGTCGCCGTGGTCGTCCTTCCTCCTCCTCCCACGTCGTCGTCGTCCGTCGTCGGCGTCTCGTCGTCGTCCCTCCTATTTCGTCGCCGTCGTCGTCGTCGTCGTTGTCGTCGTCGTCTTCCCTCCTCCCTCGTCGTTGTCGTCGTCGGCGTCGCCGTCCTTCCTCCTTCGTCGTTGTTCGGGTCGTCGCCGTCCTCCCTCCTCCCTCGTCGTTGTCGTCGTTGTCGTCGTTGTCGTCGTTGTCGCCGTCGTCGTCCTTCCTCCTCCCTCGTCGTCGCCTTGGATTGAAAGGCGTGCCTCAAAGTCGCCTCCCTTCGTCCTCCCTCGTCGTCGCCGTGCCGCCGTACCCGCGAAAGGCATACTGCGAAGGCCTTACAGCCAGTGCCGCCGACCACGAAAGGGGACGACGACAACAACGGCGGCGGCGGCGACGACGACGACGCTGACGTGGGCCAGAGCGATGCTTCTTGGGGTCTCTTCGGAGGGCTCTCGGGGGCCTCTGAGGAGGAATTCTGGGGCCTCCTGGGAGCCCCCGGGGGGCATCTTGGGAGCCTCTTGGGGCCTCTTCGGGCTTCCTGGGGACCTCTTGTGAGCCCTTTGGGGCATCCTGGGGACCTCTTGATGCCTTCTCGGAGCCTATCAGAGCCGAGTGTGCGAAATTTCCTTTCGGTTCCCCCGTCTTGGCACGCTCGTGGAGCGGAATAGGCGAGAATGCCCAAACCTTGCAACAAACAAATGACAATCAGTGACTTTAGCCCCGTGGGGCCCACCCCCTGGGCAGGTTGGAGGGCGTGAAGGCTTTTTGGACCCGATGGTTTGGCGATGGGGAGCCCTCTTGGACCGTCCTGGGGGCCTCTGAGGGCACTGTCGGACTGTCTTGGGCCTCCCGGGGGATGCGTATCTGACCCTCTTCGACTAGACACAAGAGTGACCTTTGGCCGCGGGCACAGATGGGTCCCCAGATGGCTGAAAACGAAGCAGGAACGGCGGCTTGCGCGCCCAGGTTTGGTCCCCCCTGGGCCCCCAGAAAGCCGCGCACCAAAGGTCACTCTTACCCAGGGTCACTTTTGCGTGTAGCCGACCCCTCCCCCGGACCCCCCCAGGACCCCTCCCCTCCCGACGGGGGGAGGTCAACAGGAAGGGGCTCCCCCTCGCCTCGATGCCGGCTTTGCTGGGTGCTTCTCTCGCCGACGGGCATGAGGAGGAGGGTGCAGGGGAAGGGCACGACGGAGACGACGACCAAGGGAGACCACGAACGGACAAGCCCCTATCACACACGCAGACAGGGTCGGCGGATTCCATGGGCCACTTTGCGCCGCAGAAGCGCCCTCGGCAATCTCAGAAGCCTCGGATCGGATGCAGGCCGCTCGCCCCGAACGCGACACGCCCCCAGTGCCTGCGCGGCTGCTCTCAAGCCGCGCGGCGATGAGTTCGGTGCCCGAACAGGTCGTCAGAGAGCCGTCCCCCCGAATGAGGAGGGGCGGGGAGGAGGAAGGGGAACAGGTGGAGGTGTGGAAGGCGGAGGACCCTCCTCCAACAGCCGCGCGATAGGCTTGTAGCGCCACCACCCCATAATGGGCACATGTGTTTTGTCCGGGGGGGGGAGCTTGGGGTTCCGAGAGCAGCATTCGGCAAATGATTTTAGACGCTTCGCGTAATTCCACCAGCCTCCGTAGCCTTTGGCTCAAGCCGTCTCGGCTCGAGCCCGCCCCTGGTTCAGGTGCGGCGCCCGGGCCGCGCGCATGTCCGCCCCCGGCGCGGCGCTGTCCGGCGCTGCCTTGCGCCGGCGCCAGCGGCTGGCGGCGGCCGTGGATAGGGTCACGGGCATGTCGGGGATCAGATTAAGAATGATGAAAATGGTTTTCTCATGGTTCTAGGCCGCTTGCGGGCCGCGCGGTGCTGAAGTTGAAAATGCTTCATGGTGGTTTTGAAAATGGCCGCGCGCGCGTTTCAAATAGTTTCGGTGTCAAACTAGCAGCTTGGCGCGCCCGCCATTGGAAGGTATGATTACG